ATATATATATATATATATATATATATATATATATATATATATATATATATATATATATATATATATATATATATATATGTGAAAAAAAGGGTGACGTCGTCTCGTTTTTCTACCTGCGTGGGGAGAAGAAACCGAGGTTTCCTAAACCTTGCGCAAAAAAGGGCGACGAGGCAGTCGCTTGTTTTTTTTTTCACTTCACACACACACACACACACACACCGAGCGGTACACCAAAACGTACTGCTTGGTATACTTATATCGTACCGTATCGAGCTGAGCTCGATACTTCGGTACGATACGAAATTATAAACCTTACTTAATTGTATATGTCTTGGATCTACCTAGAAATACTTTTATTAATATGACATATTCAAAGGTGCTATAGTATCCGTTGGTATATAAGAACTATGTATTTCCTTGTGTTTTTGTGTGCTTGCGAGCAAGTCCATTTGTTTGTATAGGTGATCGCATGATTGAAGATATCTGATTAATTAAAATGGCAAAGTAATTAAGTTGACAGAATCAAAGTTGGCAGTGGTGCGGTTCCTGGGACTCATGTCTACCACTACTGCCATGTCAGAATGCTACCCACACACACCAGACTTGAATTCCATCATAGTTTTCATCATAGCTCTAATATTTACTAGGAGTCAGATAAATCTAATATTGTCATTCCAAAATTTTTAATCCTTTTACAGCCTTGTCTTCTAATATATCATAACTTGACCATTACGATAGAAGTATCATATAATAACTAGGACTAATTATATTTGACTCAAGTATTTCCATGTCTCATATTTTTTTCTCTTTGCTGAATTGTATACCTTGATGAATTGGATTCTTGTGCTATTTTAATGAAATATTAGATAATTATGGCCTTTAACTATATCATCTTCTAGATTCCTTTTATTACAATCCAAAGTTGACTATTTGCTGATAGAAGACATACTTGGACTTTATTTATTGTTCAAAATTCAAATTATGTAGGTTTTCATGCATAGTTAATTAGATGCTGCATGTTGTTATATCTATTCATTAACAATTATTCTCTTACATGACTTGGTGTGTTATTCTTAGGTGGGAAGCCCAAGGTTACTTCAAGCCTAGCTTTGATCGGGGTGCAGACCCTTTTGTCATTCCGATGCCACCCCCAAATGTTACTGGATCACTACATATGGGGCATGCAATGTTTGTGACTCTTGAGGTTAGAAACAATAGGTGGAGCACTTTATAAATTAATCAGTTTTTGATTCCTGCTAATTTATTTGTTAGCCATGATGGTTTTGCACTTTTGCTACTTTGGGACTTCTTGTTTTATTTCTGTCTCGAGGAAAATATATATTTCTTGGAGGTTTTTCTTGCTATTTTCATGTGTTTCATGTGCATTTCTCATGTTCAAATATGGTGGCTTATAAATCAAGGAACCTCTCTGATAATATGTTTGTGTTGAGGATCCTTTGTCTATTCTTAATAACATGCCACAAAAGACATACTTATTTGTAGTCATGTCAGTTTGTTTTAATTTTTCTTATTAGTTCACATATCAAGCTCTCTGTACCATCCTCCCATTCTTACTGCTATATCAGTCGTGAAACTTTCGTGTACATTGGGTTGCCATCATGGGACATAAAAAAGATGACAATCTCCAATTTGTCTAAAGACTGAAGTCAGAACCAATTAACATTTATAAGAATCAATACTCATTCTAGAATAAGGTCAATTAGACCAGATATCTAAACTTGTTTTAGGTGGAACAAATTTTTGTACATATTTAAACTTTGAAGTTGATCCACCGACAGAGTGTTATTTACATTGTCCTATCTGCATGTGAGGTTAAGAATGCATAGATCTGATGCATTTCATGGTAGTCCAAGGCAAGCACCTTTTATGGTAATTTTAAGTTTTAAGTGCTAACCTGCCACCAGCTTGCATTAGATACAAATAAGCAGGGGCTGAGCCACAATTTAGACTTAGGTGGGGCATATAAATGAGATAATGTAAGTTTAGATGAAGAAAACAATAAAGCTAAACTAAGCTCAGGATTGAGCCTACTATAAAATGTACTAGTAGATACAAATAAAAGCTTGGATTTTGTACATCAATTATCCATAAAGTTAAATAAATGATTGGTAATTGCAATATGATGTAATAAAAGTAAGATGAATACAAAATGCATGATCCTTATAGTTTTAAAAACTTGCACAATGTGGAGTGGTAATTTATTAAGAATATGTATAGGACTGATTTTAAATTCAGAATATTTTTTCTGTTACTTGACATAAGATTAAAATCCAAATAAAATGAAGATTACAGAACATGATAAAACATTACAAAAGATTGTTGAGTCATAGAGCAAGACTAAAGCCAAGATACAAAAAAGAACAAAGCATAGTAATTTTATAATATATTAAAAACAGAGCTAGTTTTCTTGTGTCAGAATATTGACACGAACATTGCATAGAGTTGTTGGATGCTCGAGCTCTTTACAGACACAAAACTAATTTTCATTCTATTTACTCTCTTAATAGAATGACAAACCTGGTGCAAACAATGTGAAAAGCAATAAGCAGGTATGTAAGGCCTTGAGTTACGAGTTGTTAATGTTGCAATAACATTATGTTTGCATGAACACGTTGATTTTTTAAGTTTGAAACAATTACAATCTTAAGTTTTAAAGCATGGATATACAGATAATGCAATTTATGTGGTCATGTCTGCCCTTGCTGCGCAACATTGATACCTTTCTGTATTTGGCATGTCTTGGTATGACATCCAGCAATTTTATTTTACTAAATACATCTTTTTAGTTCTTTTGTAAGTGAAATTTGATGAACTTATTTTGTTGTTTTAATGATTCATTTGATTTAGTACAATTTGCTTTGGTATTTTTAATTGCAAATCGCTGTGTGGATAGTGAATGAACATAGTTTGGACATTTTTATCATTGCTTCAGTCTGCAATGAAAGATTTTCAGTCGAAGTTTGATCCTAAAGATGTTGTATTCTTTGACTAGGACATAATGGTCAGATACAACCGTATGAAGGGAAGGCCTACTCTTTGGATTCCGGGCACCGATCATGCTGGTATTGCAACTCAGGTGTGTTCTTTCTAAACAAAATGGCTCCAGGCCTCAAGCATAAGCAGTATGACTTGCAATGTGCTTAACTGATAGTTTGCTTTAATAACCAATTTTATTTCATTGATCTTGCATAACACTTTGTCTCCTCTGGAGTTTGATTCATTTTAGTGATTAATTACACCAAGTTTTAAAATACTCAGGTATTAGTGGCACAATTCGATGCTTGTTGGTTCAATAATCAACCAGGACATGGACTAGATGATTTCATTCGGTTTGGTTTGGTATGCGATGTACCGCTTTATATGCTAACTGTATTTGGCTTACTGAGTGGTAAGCTAATCAGTAGTTCGGTATCAACCTACTGTTTGACATCAGTATTTTTCTCTATGACATACAAGTGCATTTTTTTTTTCTTTTTTCTTTTCTTCTTTTCTTTTGCTCTTTCAGTCTATCACTCTGTCTTTCTCTCTTCCAACTGTTCCACCCTATTGCCTTTCCATCTCCTCCTATTAGTGTGCCTTGTGACCACCTTCTCCTGTCAGTTAGATTCGTTACCTCCTTTCCTTCTGCTGGTGTGTGCCACCTCCTCCTCTTCCTCCTCCCTCTTTGCCTACCTCCTCAACTCCTTTGTCACCATCTCCTTCTTTACCTTCTCCTCTCTCTCCTCCTGCCCTTTTCTATCTCTCTTTCAGTTCTCTCTCCTCCCCTAGCCACACCCATACTTGTTGGCAAAGGGGTGTACTGACATCTGGTACACTAATGATGACATTTCGGTTTGCTCAAGGATCGGTGCCGATACTAAAATGATATTTGAAATCTTGATTCACACATATATATTCACTTAGCTTATTATGAGCTTACTTGCACTTCCTAGAGTTTAAATATGAGTTACTAGTTATAGATTATTGCTTATATTGTATGACTTGTTTTGGCTTATCATATTTCTTTATTATGGTTTTCTCTGATAATTGGTGTTTAAATCTATGATATACTATATTTCTTTACAAAGACAAAGTTACTTCCCTGCACTTCCTTGAGTTCAACATGAATTACTGGTTTTAGATTGTTGCATATAGTTGTATGACTTGTTTTGGCTTATCTGGTTTTCTGAAAAATAGTTTAAATCTATGGTACTAAATTTCAGTTGGTTGTGGAAAAAATGCTTGCATCTGAAGGCATCAAAAGGGTTGAACTTGGTCGAGAGGAGTTCACTAAAAGAGTTTGGGAGTGGAAAGAAAAGTAAGTGAACATAGAGCTAATTCTTTGAGCTTAAAACAGAACTTACGCGTATGTTAGTCTTGTCGTATAGTTGCATATTTCTGGATTTCATTGCTTTTCTTCACTTGCACCTGTGGAGTTACACTGATATCCTGCATGTATATTTAGGTTTTTTACATGGTTGGACAGTAATTAAGCAACTTATTTTCATTCTTTTTTGTTTATTTTGTTGAAAAGCTAGATTATCTATTGCCTCTTATCATTGAATGTGTCGTCCTTTTTTAAGTCTAGAATTGATTGTGTAGTTTCTTCTTATCTCTACAAAACTAATCATCAAGAAGTTTATCATAACTCGTAAGTGTTAATAAAACCTCTAATACTACTGTGGTAGTACTACCTAAGATAATACTTGAATACTTGCCCAGTTCTAGTCTTAAGGCCTTACTGACTGGTGTGTTATGATGCCCTAATTTGTGGCATTTTAAGTGAGGATAATTTATAATTGGGAATGAATAATTTATAAGCAAGTTTGACCTGGATAGAAGTTATTAGTTGGATTAGATCAGAAGTTTTCTCAAAGACTAGGAGTATGCATACTAAAATTCTGCAGATCTGCATAGCTCTAAGTTGGTGCTTGTACTAGAGAGAAAGAGAGAAAAAGGGGGGTGAGGGAGGAGGTAGAGGCAGCAGCGGCAGAGGTGTATTGGCAGAGAACTCATTTTGGGCATGCTGCTTGTATGTATCGGTCAGTATTTTTTGGTCTGGGCGTGAACTGGTACTTGGACTTGATCCATTTCAGGTGTTCCATTCTGGTCATATATAAAAGAAAAGAAAAATATTCTTGCCCTAATCTCCCTGATTGCGAACCTCGATGTGTGATTTCCCTGCAGCCCACCGTGCATTGCCAATCAGGTATGCTCCTCTTCTCCTCTTCTTTCTTCCTCTTTCTTCTCCTTCCTCTTCTTCCACCATGTCCTCTTCTTCCTTTGCCTCCACCGCTTCTTTCTCCTCCTTCCTCTTCCTCATCCTTTCTCCTCTTCCTCCACCTCCTCTTCTTCCTTCCTCTTCCTCCATTGCCTTCTCTCTTCCTCCCTCCTTCTCCTCCTTCATCCTCTTCCTCCACCACCTCCTCTTCTTCCTTCCTCTTCCTTCTCCTTCCTCCTCTTCCTCCACCACCTTCCTTTCTCTTCTTTCTCCTTCCCTCTCTTCCTCCATCACCACCTCTCTTTCTCTTCCTCCTCTTCCTCCACCACCATCTCTTTTTTCCTTCCTCTTTGGTACATACCGATGTACATGTGTCAGTTCACGGGTACTGGTCAGTATGTACCAGTCCGGCCAAGGATCGGTATGGTACCCCCGATACAAAATTACAATCCTTGTGTATTGGTATGATCAGGAGGTCACAATGTGGTGGGGAGGAGGAGGCGATGATAATGTGATAGGGAAAAGGACGAGGAGGAGGTGAGGGAGGGACTTAACAGAAACAAAGAGATAGAGAGAAGAAAAGAACAAAGAACGAAAAACATCTAAAAGCTATCAAATAGGAAAAAGGTACCAAGTAGATTTTGTTTATTATATGAGAAGTCTGGTATGGTGAACCAGGTGAAGTCCCTGATTTGCTATCAGACTGGTAAATATTGGCCGTATTTACTGGTACAATCAAGAGTTGGTATATGATATGTACTGTTAACCAAGGTTTGCCATATTGTACTAGTATGTATGGGCCGTTATGGACCTGAACCATATCGGTCAGGGCAAGGACTGGTGTGGGTCTGATACCTGCAATGTAGAACCTTGCTTTAATCAAACTGAGTAAATTAAAGCTGTATTTCTGAGACGAACTTTTTTTGCTTCTAATGTCATATTATCTGTCTTCAAATTGAGATGGCTTTTTTCGCATTCAGGTATGGTGGTACAATCACTAATCAGATAAGGAGGTTGGGTGCATCATGTGATTGGACGAGGGAGCATTTCACTCTTGATGAACAGCTAAGTCGTAAGACAGTCATCTATATATCCTGTTTCTTTCTTGGTGTATGCAGCTGCAAATGTTTCTGTTTTTTGCACATCATGAAATGAACTCAGCTCAGGATGCCTAAAGAACTTTATGTGATGCCAATCTTTATATACTGTTACAATTGCACTTTGTTACCTTGTATGCTACATGATGCATATTTAAATTTTTTTTAATGCAAACTAGCAATTTTTTTTTGTACATTCATTGCCATTGAGCTATTGCTTTATCCATTTCTGAAGGAAATAGTTGGTTTTCTGGTTATAGTTAACCTTACATTTGCTTAATTTCCACTGTCAAGATAACTAATTTAACCAAACTCTTCTAACGGATGAGTATTATGAAGTGGTTGGAAATGGGACTCTGGGTATGAATTAAAGCTCAAGGCCACTTTTATTTTATACAATTGAAAAAAAAAAGTTAACATGGCTTGAATCATACTGGACCTTGTTTCTTTAAAGTTGTTTTGCTTGATCTTTCTTGAACTGCAGTGTGTAGAATTGTTTTTTTTTTACTTGGGCATGACTAGTGTCAAGATAGTTGTGTTGAACTTTTAAAGGCTGAAATGAATTGATCAGCTAATTCTGTCAAAAGTTCACCCCTATAATATACAGAATTTTATCTCTAGTGAAGTTTGACATCACTAATTGTTGTACCGTTTGCATATGTACGGGGAAATTCTGATGTATTATCATCTGTCAAGGTATTGCTGTTTTCTTTTTAAGGTTATGGTTAGTATAAAATCATTTAAAATATTGATAGGTTATTTATTTAAATGTTACACTGTTCCTGTGGGTTACAGGGGAACATTATTGGTACAACACAAAATCAGGCCGTGAACCATCCCATTTCAGGCAGTTTGGGTCCTGTTTGGTTGTTACCATCCGGTAACCTTAAAAATTGGGTTTTTCCTACATGTGAATGTAAGCCTGCCTGGTTCAGTTTTTTGAATTGCCCTTGCTGTTGTTCTTGCTCTCGTTCTCCCTTGAATTGGGTTTTTGTTGCGACTCTCTAGTTGCAAAAGTACACCTTTCACGTCACTCCTATATGCAGTAACCCTATGCGAAGCGTGACTGTAGTTCTTGGCTGCTCTGACGTCTTCCTGTGGTCAAATGGTTGTCATACATTGTCATGGAGGACTGTGGACTCTGCAGTTCAATGTACTGCTGTTAAAGACCAATCACTTGATTACCTGATGGAGGGCCTTTGGAGCCTTCTGATGACCATAACTTCTGTGCTGGGATGAGAGAGGATCAGCAAAGAGCTCTGTTGTTGATGTTAGAGAAGATTTCTTCTCCCATCTAGATTGGCTCATATTAAACATTTTGTTTATGTTTTTCTGTATTTTTATGATGTGCCAGCTGTGTGTCGGCATGTCACTAGAAGGACTTACCGCATGACAGTGTTTTGATGAAATACTGTGCCATTAAAAGGCAGCATGGAACCCCGTAGCTAGTTAGTTATCTTATTAGGTGGAGTCATCACAATTAGGATCAAAGCTGACCTAGTATTGAGCATGATGAGCGGCTCAAGTGCAAAAAGACATTCATTTCTGGTAGAGGTTGCTAGACCATTATTTTTGAATGGACTATCCATGGTTGGGGCTAGAGGACACGTTAGGAAGTGGAGAGTTAGGCCTCACATAAGGACATCAGAACTTTGTGGGAGAGATTGTCATCCCCCCATTTTAGTCCCACGTTAGAAGTGAGCAAGAACTTATAAAGATTTGATTGTTGTACTATTGCTAATTTGGTCTTAAGCATTGATGGTTGTACTACTGTTAACTTGGACTTAAACAATTTGGATTAGCGGTTCAGCCTCAATAGATTAATGGTTCATTTATCCCATCAGGTCGAGTCATGACACAACATGCCCCCAACCCACATAATAGTCAGAATTTGATCCAACAATGTGAGTGTTGATTTGCAATTAAATATACGAACAAGAATAGAATATAGAGACTTCTTACCTTATGGTAGAGGTCAATGTTGATTTGCTATTAGACATAAGAATTAAGAACAAAAGTAGAACATAGAAACTCCAGCCCTTGTGGTTGTATGGCTTTTCATGTGGTATATGTTTCATTGTATGCCAGTGGATGGAGGCATTAACTTCTAGCTGTGTTCTTGCAATTAGGTCAACTATAGAAGAATGCAGAAATGATGGTATTTCATTCAATCGATCACTTGCTCCTAGAAATTTTATTTGCTCTAACATACAGAGCAATCTTTTATTTCGCATATTTTAAATGTCTCAATAATAATTGATTTCCTTTTTTAATCTTTGACCGTTATCTTATGTAGTGATTTCTGTCCTTTATGTAGTTGCAAGAAATTTATTATACTTTACTTTTCATTTTCTGAATGCATTTCTAAATGCTTGCAGGAGCAGTGGTTGAGGCATTTGTAAGGCTTCATGAGAAAGGCCTTATTTATCAAGGTGCTTTAGTAAACCTAAGAACTATATTTTATTTGCTATGCAACAAATTTGCTTATTATACACTTAATACAAGTTTTCAACTTTGCAATTTGATTATGACCAACATCTATTACAATATTCATATATTTTGGATACTCTTGTTACATTTGTATTGGCTTATTGGGAATATGATTATAGTAGCATCTGGTCAGAAGTTTCCGAATGACCAGTGTCACTTGGTGCTCTTTTTCTGGGTCAAACATCGTGATGTCCATGCTATCACATGGTTGGTGGAACTGGGATTGACAATCCACATATTTATCAAGTGCAGGGGTCTCAGTTTATTAGGGTGACTACATATCTTCTTTGTCAATATGCTTGATGCGCTTGAAACAAATCCAGTTATTCTTTGCTATCTATGATACTCTTGTTTTCATGGTGTACTTTATGAATGTACCTTCTTTTTTAGTTGTCTTCAGTCATGTTGTAATTGTGCTGCTTGCAAGGTTATGATTGTTGATTATGCAGATAACTTGGGTGGATGAAATCATATGTTCTATTTGTTCAGGATCTTACATGGTCAACTGGTCACCGAACCTTCAGACAGCAGTATCTGACTTGGTATGTTAAAATGTAAAAAAATGGCAATTATAAGCTCTATTCTTTGGTAACTACTAAATTGCATAGGTTCCTCCCTCCAATTTGAGACCTCTAAAACCATGTATTCAGTTTTACTTTTGTCAATAATCATTAATCTGCTGTTCAAGGCAGCATTTGCTTTTACTTTCCCTGTATACTGATTAATTTCTTCTTTTACTGCCATAAAAATGGTAGTTCTGGATGTATATAAGCATGTTGACACCTCGGACACCTGTTCTCTCATGATGTCCTGTTATTTTTTCTGTTGTCAACCCTAATTTGCAGACTTGGCAAATCTGCAAGTTAACATCTTTATGCCAAAAACCTTAAGTTAACAAATCTGCAATTCTTTGGGTCTTAATGAATTTATCTCCTCCAATTCATGGCTGTGGTAGATCCAATCTGACATACATTTTTCTGTTACTTGATGTATTTCTTTGAGATTTACTTTTGCAGATACTTGCAACCTCTCATTTGCTGTGATTAAATTGACCTAACTAAAATTACGTCAAATTGCCAGACAAGCTGAAAGTTTTTTTTCATTTAGAAATTCTTACCTAGGACATAATGTGAATTTTGCTTTTTTTTTTAGGAAGTTGAATATTCTGAAGAACCTGGTACTTTGTTCTACATCAAGTATCGTGTTGCTGGTGGTTCAAGGTACTTTTAATAACTCATTTATTAACTTTTTTGTCAAGTATCCTGGGATTTTGAATGTAAATGAGATGATGAGAGCAATAAGCCATCCATCACTGCATAACACAATCGTTGTAGCTTTCAGTATTTGACTGTGAAATTGGATTATTATTTGTAGTTCTGTGTATGGTGCTAACTGCTAATATCATGTCACAGAATTTTGGTTATGTTCTTTTATCTGCCTGCATAAGTGTCAATTTTCATATTTGTAGATCATGTTATGATGTCCCATATGCAAAAATAAAGCTTAAAAATGATAAGCTGTTCAAATTGGTATTCTGGTATTTTTACCTGTTAAATGGTTTTTGTGCTAAAATCTCATTGTCATTGCTTCAGGGATGACTTTCTGACGATAGCAACAACACGTCCCGAGACATTGTTTGGTGACACAGCCATTGCAGTGAACCCTGAGGTACATGATATGGATAGGAATTGATCCTGTTTTGTCAGTGACAATTAAGGTTTTGCTACTAACTACATATATGAGGATGAATCATCTCATTCCTTTTGCATCTAATTGTTGCTACTCATGTCTTTATTGTTGCTTATGTTTCCATGTGGCAATATCTTCAGTTTCTCTTGATTGGATAGCTGCTAATCTGGACATAGTCAGTATCATCTAGAATGTTAGGTTGAATGCATTTGAGACAAACTCTAAGGTTTACCATATTTAAGGCATCTACAGGTGTACTTCCTTTTGTTGAATTGCAAACTTTCTTTCAAAGTTGTCTTTACTGAATGAATGATGCTATTAACCTTTCTCAGTTTTATAATTATCAGGGATCAAAAAGAATATTGTTTGAGTTATAGTGTATCCAGAATCAGGAATTATTATTATTTCGATAGTTTTTTATTTGTAAGAGTGACTTATCTTGATCAGGATGAACGTTATGCCAAATACATAGGCAGACAGGCAATTGTACCTTTGACATTTGGTCGGCATGTTCCCATTATCGCTGACAGAGTAAGAACTTCTAATCCTTTTCTTATCCTGTTGATTTTAACTATGTAATACATTTAAATTTGTTGTCTTTCCTGTCCTTGTTGATGCTAATTTTGGAATAAAACTAGTTTTTTTTGTATAATTAACAATTTACGTATTCTTCTGCTATGAGAAACAAAGAGTATCATGTTATCTTTGGAGTATTGAAACAATCTACGTATTCTTCTGCTATAAAATATGCAGTATGTCGATAAAGAATTTGGAACTGGAGTTTTGAAAATAAGCCCTGGACATGATCACAATGATTATCATATCGCAAGGAAGCTTGGCCTACCAATACTCAATGTTATGAATAAAGATGGTACTCTGAATGAGGTTGCTGGACTGTACTGGTAAGACTTCAGCTTCTGCTGATGATAATATTTGTTGAATAAATCATTCTGGTGCATGTGATGCATGAAATGATTTCTATCTGTTCAGATTTTTTGCCCCATCTGCACTTGCTGATGATTTTTATCACAGTGGGTTAGATCGATTTGAGGCGCGAAAGAAGGTTTGGTCTGATCTTGAAGAGGTTGGTCTGGCAGTAAAAAAGGAATCTCATGTGCTACGAGTTCCTAGATCCCAGCGTGGTGGTGAAGTATAAGCTTTTATCCTTAACATTTCCATCAAATTGACCATTGTATTCCATTCTTTTTGCCTAGCAAAATTCCTTATTGCCACTGGTTTGCTACTCAATAAGGTAATAGAGCCACTGGTGAGTAAACAGTGGTTTGTTACTATGGAGCCATTAGCTGAGAAGGCCCTTCATGCTGTTGAAAAAGGACAATTAACCATTCTTCCTGAGAGATTTGAAAAGGTACTCTGTTGTTTATTTTCTTTCAAATGTCCAAGCTCTACTTATTTGTTGAAAAGTAACTTTGTTTTCCAATATGTGTAAGCATCTACAATCACATGATCTTGTAATTTCTTTGTTTCACTAAGAAGCTCCAACAAGCTAATTCATATTCAGATGATCCAATTTCATTTACTGTTTTTCTGATTTAAAACCCCATTTGGTTTGTAATAACAGACATATAATCACTGGCTGACGAATATCAAAGATTGGTGTATAAGTAGACAACTATGGTGGGGACATCGAATTCCAGTTTGGTACATTGTTGGTAAAGATTGTGAAGAAGAGTACATTGTTGCTAGAAGTGCTGAAGAAGCTCTTTTAAAAGCCCATGAGAAATATGGAAAATCAGTTGAAATATACCAAGATCCTGATGTTCTGGATACATGGTTTTCAAGGTTTGTTCTTGAAACTAGCTAAAATACAAATTCTAGTTAACAAGAAGCAATTTCGAAGTTTAATTCGCATATTGAAATTCTCTCTCTTAGGTGGGCTTGAGACATATATGACATGCAGTCTATTTTGTGTGCAGGAATCTATTTTCATATTCAAGACTTGTCTCATGCTTTCAAAAATATTGTGAAGGCTTGTTAAGTTAGATACTTGTTAAGCTGTATGTAAATAGGAATGTCATTTTGTCCGGACCCTTGTACTGATCCCAAGCGAGAACAATACATATTTGCCAGTACTAAGATACTGAGTGTATGTACCAAAGAAGGAGGAGAATAGGAGGCAGTGGAAGAAGAGAAAGGAGGAATAGGAAGGAAGAAGAGGAAGTGGTGGAGGAAGAGGAGGAAGCATATTCGAGGCTGGTGCCACATGTGGACAGTGGGGATGTAGGTGGCAGGCATGACAGTGAGCTCTGCACGTGCACATCAAGAGGGAGTAGAGGGCTGAGAATTTGGAGAAGAGGAGGAAAACATAAGTTAGAGGAGGTGGAGGAGGGTGGGGGGGTGGGGGAGGTGTGTGGGGGTTAGGTGGCAGTGGATGTCAGTGGGCACGAGTTTAAAGGTTTTTTCTTTAAATGGACTGGACCAGATCACCCGAAATTGGGGCTGTTTGCATAGGTTAACATCTGGACTGGTAAATACTGATAGGTATGGACCAGTCTTCGCAAAATTGCAATTCTTGATATGAATATTATGAAGAAACTAACACTAGTCAAAATTATAGTATGAATATGCAATGTTGACCTCAAAAATCTAGGACATAGGTGCTATCAATAAGTTTATCTTCTTTAAAGAGGTTGCACAGACACTAGAATTAGTTAATGATAAACTAAAGTGATTTTTGTTGCATAATCATCTAAATGAAGACTTCTCTAAGGAGCTTGATAATGATAATGCGGTGGCAACCTTGTTACCTTGTATGTCATATAAATCACTGCTGTCTGTGATGTCAGAAATTAATGTGGTGGTCAAACCTGGTACCTTGTATGTCGTATACATCATGACTGTCTAAGATGTGTAGCAATTAACTTCAATTTGCTGACTCATTCCTTGAAATTTTTTTCATGTTATCTGCTACAAGTCAGCAATTAAGTTTTGTTATAATCATGATTATTCTTTTTCAATGGATGACATTTAGTTTTAATGCCCTTCTCAGGTTATAAGAACTTTATATGCATATGCCTGGTTTGGTGGTTGTAAGATTGCTTTTCATTTCTTTTTCAACTACAAGTGAGAGTAGTGCATGCTTTATGTTGTACTTGTTTGAGTTTGAAGATCTTATCATTCCAACTGACTTATATTATCTCAGGTCATTAATGTTTAGTACATTTATTAAGCTTTTCATTAACTACATGATTCTACTAATACTAAGCACCTTATACTTTTATTTCAGTGCATTGTGGCCTTTTAGCACCCTAGGATGGCCGGATGTGTGTGCTGAGGATTTCAAGAAATTTTATCCGACAACCATCCTTGAGACTGGGTCTGTTCTTTTATTTAGAGGTTTCTCATCTCATTTATATCCACAACTAGACACATTTATGTTGCATACATAAATTTATGGTTCATGGTTGTGTTTAAATATATAGTTTGATTGTGGTCAATGAATTCTTCTTCTATTGTCTGTCAAAATGTGGGCGAAATCATTGGTTTTATGAAAGTTATCATGAAGTGTCATGTATAATATAATCCATCCTAGACCCCACTTTGAATTACTAGAATTGTACTCAGACAGACTTTTTATCTATCAACTTAATTTTTTTTGTTAAACAGTACTTCAAGTGGACATTTTAAACGATCTAATTACTTAGAATAGTAAATTTGATTAAATGACAACCATTTTAATGGTTGTAGTGCAACTAGGAGCTATCTGCTAAAAGTCCCCTAGCCGTAGGAATATTATAGAAGGGGAAGAGACAAGCTACCCTAACTCTATTAATTATCAACTTAGTAATTTAATAGACAAGCTAAACTACAAAACAGTTTTTGAATATATTTCATAGAGGATTTATGCCTTTGACATCTGACAATCTCATGCTGGGTGGCAGTAGGCCTAACACAACTCCACCTTTTCAATAAGAGGTTTGAATGTTTGTTAACTAGAGATATTATCTACACAGCTAATTTTCCATGTAGTTGATCCTGAATAGTTCGAACATTACGTAGTTGTCTTTCTTAAAAAACTTGCCTCTATTCAAGAAAAGATATTTGGACATTTGGACTTTTTTTACCTGCTTGTTGTCTTATAACAAAAATTTTGAACTAATTTGCTTCTTCATATTTAAACTGATTCAAAATTGCTTTTTTTGGATAGACATGACATTTTGTTTTTTTGGGTGGCTCGGATGGTCATGATGGGGATTGAGTTCACTGGGAATGCACCCTTTTCTTATGTTTATTTGCATGGGCTTATCCGTGACTCTCAAGTAAGTATTATGTATCAAATACAAGTACCCTTGACAGACAAGTAACTTTTTTTGTCTCTGCTCTGTTACGTTGCAATTTAGATTTAGTACAATGTGCAATTGTTTCTGAAGCTTTCATCTAGTTTTGATAGATGACATGTAAATGTTTTTGTACTTCACTGAGCCTGTTCATTAGCTATTATAGACTTTATGAACATTAAGAAATTAATTCCTAATTGAAATTCATTTTGTTTTGAGTTAATTGGATGTACTCTTCAGGGGCGAAAAATGTCTAAAACATTGGGAAATGTTGTAGATCCCATCGATACTATTAAGGAATATGGTACAGATGCGTTGCGATTTACACTTTCTTTGGGCACTGCTGGTCAGGTCTGTTATGAACTCAACTAAAATTCTGTGTTTTTTTCTTGTTCTGATTATCAAGAAATGTTTTCTTGTTCATCGAGTGACTTCCAATTTTCTTCAGGACCTTAATCTGTCCACCGAGAGATTAATGTCAAACAAGGCTTTAACTAACAAACTATGGAATGCTGGCAAGTTTATTTTACAGAATTTGCCAAACAGAAGTGATGTCTCTGCATGGGAACAATTGTTAGCATATAAGGTCTCTTTTTGCTCCCTTTTCTCTATTTACTAGTTTTCTACTTGCACATCAGATGATTGTTGGTAGATTGGAGGTAATCCAGATATTAAAGGACTTGTTGCGAATGATATAATTCTTCAAACTTCCATCACTGCCTGATCAGCATTTATTTGCATTGCATTGCATGATATAGGTAATTTCTAAATGCTCTGAAAGGATTGTCAAATTGAAAAATTAGGTTTTAAACCAGCACTGCTGCTGGATATGAGAAGTCAAAATTGGGCATGTTGCCTTACATGGAATTCAACCTTATTCAATTGTAAATTCCCTGTATGCAATTCTTCTGAGCGGTGGAACTTGACTTCAAGTTTTAATACTTAGATATCAATGTTTTGCAAATTTTGTGGTTTGCATTTGTATTTTGTAAGAAGAGGTTATAAACTTGGCAACAATCTTCTTTTCTTTGGGCTACGGAATGGATCACCAAGTTTTGGAATATTTATAACATGCATATTGGGTATCTGATGTAGTTCTAGATATCAAGCTCAAGCTAGGAATGTATGTGTAGGCTCATGCAAGCTTTTTATGCAATAATCTGAGTGCTTGAGCAGTTGACTGAAATCAGCTTAGTTTGGATCAGGACTCATTCTTGTTATTAATGATCAACTTAGTGCATCATTGAGAACCTTTGGCCACCTTGTTGCTTATTTTCATATTAGCTGAGTTTCATTTTTGTTTTTATGTTAACAGTCAAATTGTGTTGCAGAACATTTCTTCATTCTAGTATGTGGTGTGTGTGCGTTATCTTATGTATACAGTAAGATCCTTTTTTAAAGCTTAATTGAGCTCAACATAGTAGACAAGAAAGCATTGCGCTTAGGCCCTTAGCTCGTGAGATAGACTTTATTGTGTTAAACTTATTCTGCATCTATAGTTGTAGTGGGGACTGGGGAGAAACAATGCATTATGGTAAATTTTGCTTGATACCTATAATCAAAAGTCATAATGAAGTTTAGATGCGAACATCAATTGGTTAAGTGTCAAAGCTGAGTGCCAAGATGAAAAACCATATCCAGTGTATGGAGGTAATACAACAGGTTCATACCCCTCATTTTTCTGGGACTATGGAGTGCTTATTATCTATAGTGCTAAATTCTATGTTTATTATTTGGTACTGTTAGTGATTGCTTAAATTTTTTACCCAGTTTGATACAGAGGAGACACTTCTTGAACTTCCATTACCAGAGTGTTGGGTGGTATGTTTATGACTTCATCCTATATTTTTGGTCCTTTTTTCTCATTAATTAATGAATGAAATAATATTTTAGGTCTCAGAACTTCATGAACTAATTGATATTGTCACCACAAGCTACGACAAGTTTTTCTATGGAGATGCTGGTAGAGAAATATATGATTTCTTCTGGGGTGATTTTGCTGATTGGTAAATTGACTATGAACATCTTAGATGCATGAACAAGATTATGTGAAGCAGTTGTTTTTATTTGCATCATTTTGCCCTCTGATACTGCTGCATGTTTCTTCTGATATGATCTTAGCGCTATAGTTTTCCATGTAGCATATTGTCAATATATAAAAAATATATTACATTTTTAATTGCTGTCTTCTAATGAGTATTCAGCAGAATTCTCTGGCATGTCTAGACTTCGCTAATCTTTTTATTTAGGACCTCATCCTCTAAAAAAATTCTGCTGTCTTGAGTTTCTGATAGAAGTTATTTTTACTTCTTTGTTTTTTAGCATGCATGATGCTGAGAGCCTGAGAAAACTAGTAGAAAATGCATATGCATTTAGTTTTAGCTTATATGTATGGGCTTGCCTTCTCTGTCCTCATATATTGTTTTTTTTTCATTTTATTTCATTAAAACCCATTAAATGTTAAGTTGCTAACAACTAAAAATTCTTAAACTGAATATAGTTTAATATTTTGAAGAGATACCTATTCTGTTGATAGTTGAGAAATTCTCATTGAAAGTTGAGGTTGGGAGGACTGATGTGAATATAGCAGAATAAAATCAAATGGCTTGAGTTCCAATTACAAAAAAAAAAAAATCCTGATGTGTAAGGTGGTCTGTATTGGCATCTGCTTATTTCACTTACATAGCATGAAATGGCCACTAGATGTTACTTCATTTGGGAAGAGGCGGGGATCACAGTTTCTTGTTCATAAATTGAAGGTGTAGATGGATGATACAGTTAGGAGCAGCTAGGCATTCCATCGCCACTAATAATGGCAATATTCCATCGACATATATATATATATATATATATACATACGCATAATCACAGTATTCATTTACTACCATATAAAGGATGACCACGAAAGGAACTATATAATTGATCTGACATTTTCAGTTTATTAAAACTAACGAGGAGCATGCCTTTGGTAACTTTTTTCCAACTCCATAAGTTCTGTCTTCTTTGTCAGCCTGTTCATCTTGTTGCCAGGACTGACATTTAGTATCAAGGGAGTCTACATTCTGTTGATTATGGCTTTGTTAAGACAGAGCAAGGATTGACATTTCGGATACTGGGCCCATGCTGGTCGATGGCTGGGCCAGTACAGGTCTGGTCCATGCTGGCATATCGACACACGGTATACCAGACATACTGACCATTTGCCAGCAATTTGTTTGTGATTTTGGGTGCATCTCTCACTTAGCACTAATGTGCCAATATCCTTTTATTCTCTTCTTGCGCTTGAACAGCATCATCATTCATCCGGTTCTTTTCCTCTTTTACATTCTTTCTTTGTAAGGTCTACTGTTGACTTGGGCTCTGTAGTCTTTCCAGATATCACATTTTTAGTCAATGCTTAACTTCTGCAATGGGTTTTGCCTTGTATGTAGTGGTACAGTAACATCTATTTTGCTATGTACATGTTGTGGTTAACTATAAGTCCATATATGCACTTATATAACTCAAAGGAATAGGCAATATTCTTTAGGTGTTTGTCTTTTTTCTGAAACTTGTACTTCATCCTATAAGGAGACCTCATTTATTTTGACCAAATTTTGTCCAGCACAAGGTGTTTATTATCTTTCCTATTTGATGTGTCCTGCTTTGTAATGTTAGATTCTTCTTTACGCCTCCTGCTATTTTTCACTGTAGTCTTGTGTCCCTTTGGGTCTCATGGTATCCTTTTTTATGTACTTTCTGCTGGTAGTTTGAATTGCTTTCTTATTAGCCTAGTTTTTCAGGTATATCGAAGCAAGTAAAACTCGTTTTTACCATTCTTGGAGCAATTCAGTTGCTTCTGTAGCACAGGGTGTTCTTTTGTATGTCTTTGAGAACATACTGATACTGCTGCATCCATTTATGCCATTTGTCACTGAGGAACTATGGCAGGTAGCATTACTTTTTTTCAGCTATAAAGTTTGAAAAATTTCCTGCTGTTTCATTTTGAAGGAAAAGGATTATGGATTGATAGTTTCACTTAATTCGTATCCGATGATAATTTTATATGTTATATCATTGTGAACTAGATCTGATGAATTATGCAATACAAAAGCAACAACAATAAACAAGTCATAATGTCCCAACTAACTATTTGGAGTTGGGGTTGGCTACATAGATCTTTTTTCGCCATTGAGTCTAATATCTAATGAATTAGATGAAGGAAAAAAAATAGATGCTGTACCATGAGAAATTGTGCTTGTATTAATTAATTCCAAATGCTTTGTACAGTGACACTTGCACAATGATGATGATTGAATGTAAAGAGAATAATATATAAAACTGTAGAACTGTATCTATGATTATGACTGTTGGACAATGCTAATATGCTGTATGTTTTTGGTCCTTGTTTTAGATGCATCTGTTTTAGAGTGTAGGCATTTTTCTTTTCAGACTTTGAAATATTTTAAAATTTTCTCTGCCACTCAAGTCCTTGTTTCTAATTTTCAAAAATCATATTTTGCTCTAGATATGCTCTCGCATATCGTGGTGAGAGCAATTCATAAAAAGCATATCTGGTCTATGTGCAGGCATTGCCATATCGAAGGCAAGCACTTATAGTGTCCCAGTGGCCTCGGACTTCACTTCCAAGGGATGCCAAGTCCATCAAAAGATTTGAAAATTTACAATCAATGGCGAGTCAAACTTATTTATTTCTTCACTCCATTTTTATTTTCTCAGTTTATGTTGTGTTTTAACTCTCCATATTTGTGTTAATAGATTAGAGCTATCAGAAACGCTCGAGCCGAATATTCTGTTGAGCCTGCTAAACGAATATCTGCATCTATTGTTGCAAGCACTGATGTCCTTGATTATATATCAGTAAGCACCAGTTTCCAGCAATTATTGATTTGTACCAATATTCATTAAAAATGTGAATGGCTATTTAACATATACTTCTCAGATAATATCTTCATTTGTAGTCATCGTAAACTCTGCTATTATGATTATTGGTATGACGCATAACTAGTACTGTTCCTGCTTGGTTGTTTTGTATAACTATACTTGGTGTGCATAGGACATGCATTAGTTGTCCATCTCTATGTATTAATGAACATGCACATGCAGCGCCTTGTGGATTAATTATGTACTTCTATTTTTAAATAGAGTGAAAAATCTTAACTTGATTTTACCATCCTGGCTTGATAAATATCACTGATTCATATAGATTAATATGGATTAATATCGCTGATTCAACATATATGCATTTCTTGTACCATCTCATAAGATACACATGCACACACATTAAACTTTAGTAAAACAAGTCTAGGCATTAATATAGCAGGAATTCATGGTACAGATGTCTTACTTGCATCTGTCTTTATAAGGATACACATGGCTTATGTATCGTAAGGATACTCCCTTTTATGAATTTTCAATTGAGGTCATGTACACTTCTTTTACAGAGTGAAAAACAAGTATTGGCTTTATTATCCAGGCTAGATCTGCAACATGTTCATTTTGTCGAATCTCCTCCAGGTATGTTTGTAAACACCTTCTATTTGGAGGTGCTCATCCATATAAATTTGTTTGTATATGGCTGCTTTTTACAGATAATGCAAAGCAATCCGTCCACCTTGTGGCTGGCGAGGGTTTGGAGGCATATATTCCTCTTGCAGATATGGTGGATATATCAGCGGAACTTCAACGACTTTCAAAGCGCCTCTCTAAAATGCAATCAGAATATGATGCACTTGTTGCTCGTCTGAATTCTCCTAGTGTATGAAATTACTTTCCTTTTAGACCATACATTTATTACAAAGAAAATATGATCATCTGCCTTAAATGCATATATTACATACTGGGAATACAAGCCTATATATCTGCATGAAAATCAGATCGACATTAGTTAATATGATTTTATATGCACATTCATAAATTGCAATACTTGCATACATATAGTCATAAAATATGTTTATAGATGTGCAATGTTGTGTATGTAATATGTATAATGGTGCTTCCAGCCAGCACTGAACATATTAAAAGAGATTGACAAATATAAGCATCACAAGAAGATAAGAAGTTGAACCCCTCCTCTTCAAATTGAAAAAAAAGGATTGCTATTTACAAATGTGCATGTCATCGATACTGTCTTTTGGTGCAGTTCATAGAGAAGGCCCCTGAGGAAGTTGTCCGTGGGGTTCGAGAGAAAGCATCTAATGCAGAGGAGAAAATAACCCTCACAAAAAACCGTCTTGCCTTCCTGCAGTCAACAGTGTCATCATCAGTCTAAATTGTATTCACCCTTTATGTTAATCTTCTGCTTTTACCATTAAAAATGTCGATTCTTTGGTTCAAGGCTGTCAATGCTGTCATCACTGGACTAAACCTTGCCACTTTGCGTGTTCTTGGAATGACAAAAGTAGAGCGTGAAGCAGCCAGTGCACATCCCTGTGTGTAAAGTTGTTCCTACAGCGGATGTAGGATTTTTGTTTTTTTGTTTTTTTACTTTTTCCTTCCTGCAGTCCCAAGATTTTCTGTGCAGCTATCATGCAAAAATTGTTGTAACTTATAATTTATTTACCAGGACAACTTGTACGAGCTTTTATGGTGCCAAGGTTCTGTCGAACATCTCGGTTGCTAGTATCATTATAGTTCATGATTCTTGTGCAAACACATTTTTTTGGGTCTACCAAATTCATTGAGCTTTATGAATATCTGGAGTCTGATAAAGCTATCCTTATTGGGTTTCTCTTACCAATCTGTTAAAAATATTTCTTATAGCTACTCTAAGTTCTGCAGGAGCAGAATGGTTTCTATTGGTGAAGCCAAATTGTCTGATGTTGACTTAAGGTGCATGGCTCTCTGGAAAAAAATAACTGCAATAATTTTTTACTATGAACATTTGTTTTCAATCTGGGTTTGGGAGGAGGTTTCCAGATTTGTTGAAATAAAACTGCACTCCAATTGTTAGTTGTGACTCTAGTTAACTGTATTTTTATTTCTTTCTTCCTGTGATCTAGAATTACACTGAAGTTTTTAAGTTAAGAGTGAGAGAAAGGCCTCCTATGATTGTACATCAGCATTTGCAGGCAAGTTAACGACATCAGCACCGGGAAGAGTCAAAAACTTTTTGATGATTAGAGTTTATTGAGCATTGATGTTTTTGTTGGAAAAAATGACCATGCCTACAAATTTTAAGCTTTTAAGAGGTTTTAAGCTTTTAAGAGTAATGAATTTTGAAACCTGATGTATTATTGAATGTTTCTTTAGATTCAGTTGAGGTTTCTTTAAAAAAATTATCTTCTAAAGTCGTTTTTATTGATGAAAGCACGAAAATGATGAGTAAAAAGATAATTTCAACTTTCCAATTATGTTTTTAGTGACGGCGGACGACGACACCGGGGGCCATGGGTGAAAGGTGAGGTAAAGAAAAGAGGAAGGAGAGCGACGATGAAAGGTGAGGTAAAGAAAAGAGGAAGAGGACGACACATATGTCAATACTTTACATCTATGTCGTAGATGTAGAGAGACAAAAGGATCGCTCAGTATCTAAATCGACGTCGCCGTAGATGCAGAGCGATGTCGCTTTGTATTAATGTCTACGTCAAATTTTGAGCAACTTTTTTGTCATTTTATATTTGGGTCGATGTTGGCATTTGAGGCATCCTTTTCCTCCTCTTTTTGCTTCATCTCTTATCATCATTCTCTTTCATCGCTTATCGTTTTCGTGCTTTTGTCAGTAAAATCGATAGTATTATGATAATTGGAGTTAGATGTTTCATTTTTATAATTATAAAAATTTTAATATAAATTTTTTAAATCTAGAGATCGAGATGCTTGAGAGGTAGAGATAAATGAAACATGATTGTAAAATTATCAAATGTGCAGGTCGTATGATTTCATTGTGAGAAATTCTGCTGCACTGCTTAGACAAAGAATCAACATTTGAAATTGCACGAGAATGTCCTCGCGACTGACCGATCAAACTATTGTTTGTGATTTTTTTTTTCAATAACACTGTTATCAACATATAATTTGTTTGGAAGAAATCACCAATTTGGCACAAATAATAAGGCATGATGCTGAAAGTTCACTCAAAATTCTCATCACGAAAAAATGTATACAAGATTGAAATATATGAAGATAAGTTCCCAACACAGGCATTTCTTTTACAGGATCCGGTGCTCTCGGAAAGCCAGCCAGTTACATCAAACCATCCCATTTTACAGCCCTAGGTTTTTATAGGCCAGGATAAAGGAAGAAAAATATGGAGCCATACCCGAGGCAGGGATAAACCCAAAAAATAATAATAATAATAATAATGTCAAGGACACCAACTATTCCCTATATATACCCTTCTAGTCCAAAATCTCATGTACTAAATTATACGGGCTCAAAGAGAAGGAAATCTGGCAGAGGGCCTGATCAGAAAACCACAACTTATCAAACGAGGTGGTGCCATTGAGAGAGCTAGTGATCAAGCATATTCTCCCGTGTCGGTCCTGGCTAACGTTGACACACATATTACACCACAACAATAAACTTGGTGGTGAATCCCCTTAATTCCACCTCACCATGGTGCATTTGTGGTTAAAAGCTCAAGTTTCATCATCTGTCCATGCGATAGTGAGGTGACAGATTGAATGCCATGGGAGATCCAGCCATGAGCCACCTTTCAATTGTAAATTTTCACAGGCTTCTCAAATGTGTGGCGGTTCTGCAGGATACAATATCGAATAATTGTGGAGGAAAGCCAAATGAAATTTGCCACAGTCGTGCAGGAACATCTACAAGTAGCTACATGACTGATATAGCTAGCTGTCTAATATCCTTGAAACTGAAAAGTTATTCCGCATACATATCCAACAAAAATGCAATCAATATAATCACTCTACCTGATTAGCTGTATAAGCCCTTTTTGGAGCAGTGTCAGAGTGCTCGAGTCCAAGGTACTGCTCCCAGGCTCCATAAATGTCTCTCCTCTGCGCCAGATGAAAGGAGTTAGGGGAAGTGACAACTGGGGAGGAAGAAAGAGTAAATAAATGTACCTGAAATCTATTGGACACTATATCTGAATCCTGGAGGTATTCAGGGCGCCCAAGTGCTACAAATGCTAACTGCCACTGATTGAACACATGAAACAATGTCAGATTTCACACAAAAAAAGTGATGTTAAATTGCAAATGAGCAATTTATGCATATGTCATCATGGCAGCAAAAGTACTACAGGTTAAAGTATCTCTAACTTGGTATCATCATAATGAATACTTGTAATAGTTGGCATGTTTCTGCAGTTGTTCTTCTGTGCTTAAGACTGCCTGAGCTCTCAAAATGAGTGAAAGGTTTTACTTGCTCAGATTTTTGAACAAAGTGGGTTACAATGAGTCAAAGGTTGAATTGGCAATTCTTTGGTCTACACAAAGTCACAAGAGAATAACCATGGATGATATTTTATTTTCAATGTTGTGTCATCTCATAAATGTTATTAGCACCATATACTTGACCAAGATTCAGGTTTTGAACGCTAAAAAAGAAAGGGGTTCAGGTAGCAAGAGAAGATATCATCACTAACAGAAATAAATCAGGAGAATACAAAATATCAAGTGTACTAAAAACTATCACTGAGATAAATCTATGCATCAGGAAAATACCAAAAAAGAAAAACAAGCACGTGCAATAAAAATCATCTTACCAAGGTTTTAACTACGCTTGGATCAGTACACACCAAGCAATATTTACTAGTTCAACCAATGGTATCACAGCATATAACTCAATACCAGTACAATAACATTCATTTTTATTTTTTTATTCAATAATATTGTCCGATATAGATTGATATACCGCTTTGTCATGGAACAATGCAGACAAGGTGTTCATAGCTTGTCCATGATGGTTTCGGTTCTTGTTTTTTACTGTTTTATTCGTGTTTTCGGTGCTCTTTAGGGCAGCTTGTACGGGGCAGAAAACACTATAGTCAGCCCCATTTTTGTTTATTGTCAGTATTTTTATTTCCTGTTGTCATCATGCAAAACTCGAAAATGTTTCTGATTGTGTGGCACTGCACAAAGGGAAAATTGGCCCAAAACTACACCGTTCTCATGTGCCACAGGCTGATTTCTGGCTGACAGCCTAGCGGTGTGAAACATCAACCGTCTTGACACCTTGGAACCTCCCAGCTAGCACCGGGGCCGATGAGGATTTGGGTAGGTGTTTGAGGGGTGATGCAACGTCTTTAGTGTGACTGCTTTATGTTTGATGAAAGTGCTAGGTGAACATTGAGCCTACATCTACCTTCGAACCCCCTTTGTGTGCACTCGTTCAGCCCGTTTCCGAGACACTTTCGAGCCTAATAAATGCTGGTTGCTTTGTGTTGCTTTGGATCTTGATTATCTTGCTCTTTTCATGCGCGACGGCAAATTACCAGCACATTCGCCTTTTAATGTTTTCTTCATTGTGCAGGTCATTTGTGGACTGCACGAGGTTAAAATCTAGGCTGACCCTTGCGGACGCATGGCAAGGCAGCGTGGCAAAACCAGCATTGCTGTATATGATGGGCAACAGCAATGCATGACTGTTCCAGAGAAACAAATGAGCACTCACGCGGAAACTAGCAATGCCACTCAAGTGGAAAGTGGCATTTGCAATGAGGTTCCCACAGCGTAAGAGTTCTCTCAAGTAGAAGAGGCAAGAGTTGAAGAGTAGCATGAATGACATAGAGGCACAAAGAAAGATTGGCCGAGTTGGAGCTATGACTCAACCTTGTCAACTGAAAGTTCACAGATCTCTACGAAAGCAGGGAGCTTCTTGAGATATAGAGTCCATGCAAACAGGGTTGGAATCCCAACTAGATCAGCTGGATGTCTGATTTGAAAGGTTGACAAACGACACGAGAGTCTGTGCAATGCTTACACGGGTAAGTAAGGGACTTGACGACTCAAGTGTCGGTACTCATGCTATATGCATGCGAGCGGAGGAATGTCTCACGTCCATCTCTCATCGAGACTAAGGGCTCTCGAATTGCAAAGCTACAGGGGCGATCGGGATGCCATGTTAGAAAACTCTCTTATATTTGAAACAGTACTTCAGAGCAACTCGACCCAAATCAGAAGATTCCAAGGTGTCATTAGCGACGATGAATCTTGTCGATGATGCTAAACTATGGTGGCACACACGATGGGAAGAAATGCAACAAGGTCGCAATAACATCGACACTCGGGAAGCCTTGAAGACGGAATTGCAAACTCAATTCATGCCAGAGAACACGGAGTTCGTTGCATTGCGAAAGTTGCGACAACTTTGCCAAACCTCTGCTACCTGAGACTATGTGAAGCAGTTTTTGCATTGATGCTAGATATCCAAGACATGTCCGAGAAAGACAAACTTTTCTGCTTCCTCGACAGTTTGAAACCATGGGCCCAATAGGAGTTGCACTATCTTAATATCCGAGAGCTAGCAGGTGCAATCACTGAGGTAAAACAACTCACAAATTTCTCTGCAGAGATGACAGAGAAAAAGTACTCATCGGAGAAGGGATCTTTGAAATCTTCCAAATGGAAGGACCCAAAGAAGAAAGGTGCTCCGAGCTTCGACGGGACATGGATCGAAAGGGAATGTCCTGAAGTCCAACATATGTCTTTTGTGCAGTGGAAAGCATCCAATGTTGGAATGCTAACGAAAGGAGGCACTCAATGCCCTTACGACTTCTTTCCAGCCGGAGAAGGTCAAAGCGAAGCAAAATCTTCCGGCTCGAACAGGTCGTGTTCTAGTGATAAATCAACATCAAGACCTCGCATGGGAGCTATGCGTTTGTTGAACACATTGCAAAGTGAAGTCCGAGAGAAGCCTAAGCAGAGGCCATAGAAGAAGATTGACTTTTCAAGCTCGTGTTTGTCGGAGATGAGAAATGACAGAGGATAACCAGGATGATCTCGCATTGGGGCGGTGCAATTGTTGTAAATTTGGATGCAAAGCCTATCTTTGAATTGGCAAAGGGAGTCAACATCAAGATTCGAGATTGGAGCGAGAGCACCAACTTCATGGCGCTTGCCTTGGATGATTTCCAAGTCGTCCTTGGGGTGGAATTTTTGCAAGAGGCAAAAGTAGCATGTCGTTCTTGAACTCTTTTCTGATGGACGATGACTCTCCATGCATGATGGCACTTTCGAAGAGAGCTTCGAAAGACACGTATACTCTCAACTATGCAAGTGGCAAAAGAATCGAGCTGGGAAGACCCGACTCATCGCACAGCGATGCAGTTGGAGTCAGAAGGCCTCAGCTCAAGACAATTGTCTATTGAGACAAACGCACTTGTAGAATATGCCAATGTTCCAGGATCTCAGTTGTTAAAGCCCTTTCCACAAAGGCACAAGGTGGAATGGCAATTTAAGCTTAGTGAAGGAGTCGACAAATCTAGTCGACCATCCACATCGGGCATCATTTCCGAAGTAGGAGAATCTTCGGGACCTCTCAAACAAGTTATTGGACGATGAACTGATCCAGAGCTTATCTTCGCTCATGGGTTACTTGGTGCTTTCAAGGGGCAAGATCGGGCAAGCGACCGCCAATGCCATGCAAACGACCGAAGAATCAGAGTTAGCGATGGCCATATAACAAAGATGGAGGTGACCATATCAAAAAGTTGCATTCTGATTGGCGAAAGATCAAGAGGGAAATGCTTCCTAAGTCATAAGGTGTACAAAAGCAACTGATTAAGAGAGGCAAGGCATTGCAATGACCTCGAGTCCAGGAGGGACAAAACTACTCAAAAAGAATTTAGTCGAGAAAGCGTTGGACAAAGGGCCATGAACATCAGGAGATGAGGCATGTACTACAGCGACGAGTCTTCCGAGCCTAACCAAAATTGTTCTCCAAAAGGGAGAGCACATTTTCGGTCGCAACTGGGATGTGGACAATCCCAAAGGGACGACCAAAATCCACCTAAGCGCTCTTCAAGGGCGAAACCTGACTTGGCTCAGGTTCAAGCAATACTTCTTATGCTTCAGAAGTGCGATGACAAAGAGGGGACGAAGTTAGGTAACCAGCTCGGAGCAAGGAGTACAACTCGAGGAATTCGGATGAATCCATTCCAAGTAACCCAATTCTCCTCGCCTTTGCGGTGGAGCTTTGCATCAATTGGAAATCCCGTCAAACAAAAGATGCGATGAACAAACTTCACGGGAGAAAGCCATACTCTTCAAATTTTGCGATATGGCATTGGCAAAGTTCCAACCAGCAATAGTCAAGCTTTTATAGCGTAACACCTCCAAGGGGCTTAAATGTGCATGATGACGGCATATTACCCCCACGTTTGTCTTTCTAACCTTTTCTTCGTTGTGCAGGTCCTTTGTGGATTACACAAGGTTAAGGTCTAGGCTGACCCTTGCGGACGCATATCACTTCGGAACCCCTTTATGTGTGACCAGTGATTTAAAAAGCGCTAGGCATTAAAAAGCACCAAGGTCCAAAAATGCCCGAGGCGCTAGGCGCTCGCCTGAGCGAAGCGAGGCACTAAAATATAAAAATGAATAATATAGTTAACAGTATAGTGAGAAGAGTGTGAGAAGACCGAGGCTGCTGAGGCAACGACAGCGGTAGCTGGAGCAGGAGCGGCGACGGCAGCGTGAGCGGCGAGCAACAGCGGGAGTGGGAGCGGGAGCTGCAAGCGGTGAGCGACAACGCGAGAAGTCGGCGAGCAGCGATTGTGGCAGCAGCGAGTAGCGACAGTAGCGGCGAGCAACGATAGTGGTAGCGGCACCAGAGAGCAGCGACAGCGGAAAAGAAATCTCGACAGCAAAATCGCAAGTGTTAGGGTTGGGGAAGTCAGGGAAATCGCGAGAGAGAGCCTGATATCGATGATTTAGTTGGTTCGATTGAACCAACTAAAGCACCGGAGACTGAACCAGGCGTAAAACACTGGTCAGTCGCCTGATTTAACTCGGGCACTCGCCCGAAGCACCCGGCGCTTGGGCTCGAGCAAGCGCCTAGACGGCGCCTCTTTGAAGCGAGGCGCTTGGACATAAAGCGAGGCGCTCGGGCCTCGCCTCGCCTCGCCCAAGCGCCTAGGCGAACGTCCGAGCGCCTATTGAAATCGCTGTGTTTGACTGTTTAGCCAAACTCTCGAGAGCCTTCTGTGCCTAATATAGATAGTTATTTTGTGTTGCTTGCAATCCCAGTTATCTTGCCCTTGCCATGCGTGACGACAATATACTATCTACGCATTTACCTTTCTAACTTTTTCTTCTTAGAACTACACAAGGTAATGGTCTATAGGTTGACCCTTGCAGATGGATGTCGCTTGGTTGCAATACGTAATCCCAACTACGAACATGATAGATCATCACTGTAAAGGGGAAGGAGTTGGAACAAAAGAGGAAGAGAAAGAGAAGAGGAGGTATCGGGAGGGCGGGCGGGCGATAACAAGCTACACGAGGGTGAAGCCAAGGGCTTGGGCCTCATTTAATATGATCGCAAGAGAAGAGGGGAGAGAGAGAGAGAGAGAGAGACTGAGCTGTTAAAATACATTAAGAGTTTTAATTAAAAAGCCTAAAACGAACCCAAAGAGTCCAAAATGGGTTGGTCCGTGGCCCGATTCAGACGAGTATTTACTGTCTGCCTAAAATTTTTCAAACCATGCTGCCTAGTATACCTATACTAAATCAGTCATATGGGTTAATAAGATCAGTAATTGGACCGAGATTTAAAACCTTGATCTTTTCATTTGGCATCAGGAATATTGTGAAAGTTAGCCAAGATTCAAAAAACATTTTCTAATGAAATTTAATGGTCTTTGATTTCATATTTTATCAAATAACTTCATAAAACATGAAGGGAATATTCCTTCATAATCTCATCTCAGCTTAAGCAACAAGGATTGCTATATACAGAGGCCCTTTAGCACTACTTAATGCCAAGATCAACCTATTTCATATTCTTTCTTTCCGTTACTCAATACTTTTATGCCTTTAGCTGTGCTCTATATTTCTTTTATTTGACTTCGATATTTTAGGTTTCACTCTATTGCTGTCAGGGCAGTAAATACATACATGTTGATTGTGTTTATTCTGACTCTTTTGTTATGCCTAAAATTTTCTCCCTTATGGAGACAACATGGGAAGAAGAATGATAACAGATGATGCAAGCTCACCTCCAGCCACCAGTGAAAAGAGCACCAGTTAAGAAACACTGAATTGGAACTTCTAGTACTTTGTTCTCTTCTTTCGTTCAATACCTAATAATGCAAAACAGAGGGCTCAGTGACTATGAATCTCCTGAGAAATTTTCCTTTTCTTTTCTGTTCCCCTTGAGTTGGAGATGGAACTCATTTCAGATAGGGTTTCTTGAGCTTTCGCCTCAAATTCTATCTGATTTGACTATTTGTTTCTTAGGCACACTTGAATTTTACATATGGGTTCTGGTTCCATAAGGTTATTATATGGAGAAAGGCCACAAAGTTGGTTCCTTGTGCTGGCCCCTAGGCTGAGAAATAGGATATTCCATGAAAATGGTCCCTCTTTAGAGGTTTTTTTAATATTAAATGTCCAAAAGGTGATGTCATGCACTTGGGCTGAAGAATTTGTATGAAAATTGGTCCTTTAAATCTGAACATGATTCAATAATACCTTGTAGCATGTAAACATACTTCCATCACATTGATACCTCATTTATGTAAAACCAGCTAGTCCAGGTGTTGAAGCTGACCAAAAATCAAATATACCCCAACTTGATTAAACTTATTTGCACATGGGCTAATTTAATATAAAATAATAGACTAGTTATCTTCGACTAGGGCAAGTATAGTAAAAAAATAAATATAAAGCAGGGTTAAATGGCACAGTATATGGATGTGCCAGAAATACAGAAGGACACAAGATGCAATGTAAATGAGCACCAAATCACAAATATAAATGAAGAAATACCTTTGAGAAATCTTCTTCTGGAACTTGCAGTTTCTTTTGAATGCGTATTTTTACATCAGCTAAAGTCTCGCCTTCCCGAATAACCATGAAGAATGGCTCCCCAAAGTTTTGAACTTGCTGTAAAGGCACATAAAATGATAATGGCATAAGGTTCTCAGGCAAAACTATTATAATTCAAATGAAACCAACTAAGCTAACCAATTGCCTAAATTTACAAAGCAGGAAGGATATGTAAGCATAATTAAGCAAATGGGAGACTCTTATTTTTACTATATTAGTACAAGAAAGGAAAACTCAAGAGTGGAGAACATCATAAATTTCATGGAAAATAACTCATGCCCATAAATGATATTTCCATGAAATGACTTGTCACTTGTCAGTATATCACAAGGTGTGGGGTCAAAACCAGCTACACTAAGTTCAAACAAATTAGCACAAAGTGTGGTCACAAGACCATAGGTAAAGACACGATATAGACCTACATTCCTAGCACATGGAAAGCACGGAAAGGCATAATTCGGCATTGCATTTGTTTAGCATATGGCTCAGCAAAAGTCCAATGCTTTAACATTTTCACAAAAGATACATCTAAAATTTTGTTTTCCATTTGTAAAAAAGCAACAAAATGTCACCTCAAGCACAATAAGCATTTACCGTTTGATTCTGATTAGGATCTTTAGTGAAGTGGTAAACATGAATCAAACGATCATGAGGACTAAGGTTTTTCTCCTCTTCTGGAATCTGCAATGGCATACAACAAAAATAGTTTAAATAGTGTAATTTAAATCTTCAATAAGAAAAACCACCCAAGTTTGCCTTCGGCAGAATGGATCTCCCAGAATGAAAGAAAAAACTCAACAGGCTACAATAACAAAAACTTTTTAACGACAAAGTTCCACCAAAATAGCATCCAAGAAAACCAGCAACTTACCTCCTCTGCACGTAAAGTCCAATATTGGTCATTAATATTTTCTATCTTTTCACCAGGTGGAAAGATCTGTGTGGATCATAAGTGTAAATGATTAAGCTAACACAGGAAAATAAGTAATTTGATTAAGTTAACACAGAAGGAAGTCATTATAAGACCAAAATATTCTCAAGTCAGAAGGCTTGAAGCCTCATAATAACTATAGAGGGTTTCTAAGTTTAGATTTGCTGGAAAAATACTAGCTGAAAAGATTATATGAGCAAAGGTTTTTTCTGTTTCAGTTGAATGGGATAGAGTTTAACTTTGGGGTAGAGTTTAACTTTGAAATATCCAACATTAACTACCGCGTGCCAGTCAAAGGTGCATTCAGTGTAAGCATATCTCTCAGATCAAGTCATATATTAACTGTTCATGGGCAACTCTATCTTCATTGAACAAGCCTATAATCATGCACAATTCAATTTAGCCTCCAGTTGTAGCTGAGAGGGGGTCATCTCCAAAGAGGGTATGTTTTGGGCATCAAAACAAGAGAACAGGAACTAAAATTGAAGAAAATCATGTTTATGTAGAGCCTATTAAACTCTTTAATTTGCTAGTCTCATCTGAGTTTACAATATAATACTTTTTTAAAAAGGAAAAAATGACCAGAAAAGGTACCTTATAGATCTTGTGATAGAAGACCTCAAGCAACCTGAGTTCAGCATCAGGATGAGAAAGCTCAACCTAACGAGGAATAATAACATTAGATAATGAATAACACTGGATCAGACAAGAGCACTCAAGTGAAGCAAAATGATCATTGAAACATTTGGTGCATGTTTCTTTTATCAATCAAAAACAAATATATACCAAGAAGAATATAAATATTTATGTGCTCATTATCCTAGATATTTAAAAATATTGACAGCAAATTGCATCATAGACAAGATATACCTTTGTCCTCAGGTCATTAATTACATCAGCTACAGTACTATTTTTTGGAAGTCTGATGCTGTGAACTGCAACCTAAGAGAAAAAAAAAATATATAAGTGGCAACTAAACTTCAAAAAGAAGCACAACCAATAAGCAGAAAAGGTGAAAACCAACCTCATCCTTTGTGGCATGGTGGAATGCAACCTTTAGAGTTTTTAAACCTTGCAATTCGGGCAGAGGAATATCCAATACCTCATAATATAATATATCAGAAGTCTACGCAAATAAAAATCAAATTTTATTAGTTCTTAAGAACCTTTTCTATTCAAAATATTTGTTTCTGAGGTTAACTTTTAGCCAAAGTTTAACAACCTGGTTATAGTGAACCAGCATGTCCGAAAGATGATCCACACCTCGGTACTTGATGGGTTGGGGTTTGGGCTGCTGAGAATAGCAGTTGTGTGATGTAAGACGAATTTTTGATGGATCATCCACTCCAAGTTGATGAGCAACTCTTTCAACAACATCATCGTAAGTAAACATTTTTGACCTTAAAATGTGGCAAAAGTTAACATATCAGAAGAAAAGGTTAGAAAAGACAAGTTACCCTCCTAGAATTATAAATGGTTATTGGTTCCTAACACATACAATTCTAAAGAAAAATCATCCTCCTTTGGCTTCTCCAATGACCGGAAGTGAACAACCTGTCAACATCAACCAATGCTTAAGCACAAGGATTTAAAATCAATTTAGGATAGATCATCAATGGGAACTTTACAGATAATAAAAGCAAATCACAATGTAGAACAATTGGAAAGGCATATAAAATGCTGCATGTTGCAAGACTTTGAAGTGTGGCAGTGTCGAGGCATCACAAAATGATATACTATGACTGAAACCCAAATATATAGAATTGAACTGTCAAGAAGAAGAATCTGATGGGAAATATTAGAAATAAGGAATAAGAAACTGCAATATAAGTAGTTTTACTCTGAATATAAAAAGATCCCAAATTATCTTACATATATTATCTCATAATTTATGTACATACAAAAGTTGTGCCTTTTGTAAATCTTCGAGCGGCTAATTTAGTGCCTATCTCTAGAATCAGGTGGTTGTATTGCTATATGTTGTTACAAACACAGATGTTCTATCTGCACTCTTTTACCAACATATCATCCTTTTTATTGATATAGGTGACAATTTAACAACCTAAACTTCATTTTTTTTAGCCTTGTCTTGAATTGGAATATTAAGTGAAACAAAAAATGTTTCACTCAACTATATAACATGATCCATCAGTGATTTAAAAAGGCGCTTAGGCGCTCGCCTAAGTGCTCAGACAAGGCGAGGTGAGGCGAGGCCTGAGCACCTTGTTTAAGGGCCAGGTGGAATGCTTCAAAGAGGCACCGCCTAGGCGCTCGCCCAAGCCCAAGCGTCAGGAGCTTCGGGCGAGCGCCCGGGTGATATAAGGCGACCAAATCAGACTTTTAAGTCTGGTTCGGTTAAATTTGTGTTGGTTGGTACGATTGAACCAGCTAACACACGCAGTTATACTAGCGCGCGACCTTGACTCCAAACCCTACGCACGCTTCTCTCACAGTTTTCGCCGCCGAAGATTTCTCCCTCTATGTTCGCCGCCAATGATTTCTCCCTCTGCCTCTTTCGCCGATGGTTTCTCCTGCTGCCTTCGAGTCTTCCTCTGTCGCCGATCGAGTCTCCTTAGCTTCCATTGTCTGTCGTTGTTGCTGCCCACTACCTGTTGCTGTCCACGATATGACCCCGCTGCAACTATTGTTGTCCGCAACTCCGCAGGTTCCGCTGCTGTCTGCTACCTCCTGCTGTCTGTCCGCAACTCTGTTGCCTCCTGCTATCCACGACTCAACTTCTCACTACAACTTCTCACTGTCGGTCTCTACTCTTCCTACTACTATTAACAGTAGATTATTAATTACTGTCAAAATAATCTTTATTTATTAGATTAATAATATATATTTAGATTTTAACACTGCTAATCTTTGTTTATTTGAAATTATTATTAGAGTTTCGGGATAACTGACAAGTGTACAAAACAATTCAATAGATTCTTCAATGAATTCAAAAAAGGATCTTGCATAGAAATATAATTATCTAAAGGATCCTAAAGATCCTAATGCAGTTACTTGCATCTTTTGTGATAAGACTACTAGAGGTGGTATTTTTCGTGCAAAGCAACATCTAGTAGGAAATTTCAAGAATGCAACAGCCTACAAGAAGTATCCAGTTGAGGTAAAAGAAGAGCTACTGGCATATATGAATAAAAAAAAGATTCAAAAGAATAAATCTTATGAGATTTTACTAGAGGATAATGTTGAACATATCAGGGATGATGAAGAAGAAGATTATTCTGAGTGTCAATCCAAGTGGGAAAAAAGTACACGATAGAAAAGGAAAAGAAGCTATGGTTATTCAGAAGGGTAAAATGGGACCGATGGACCTATATATGTATCAAGGATCACAAAAGCAACAAGAGCAAACAAGAGACTCAAAATTAAGACAAACAAATATAAGTGATGCTTGTGATAAAGAAATAAGGGGAAGAATAATTCAGCACATTGCTCGCTTCTTCTATCAGGCTGGCCTTCCCCTTAGTATAAACTATTTAGACAGTTTTAAGGAGATGATTGAAGCTATTGAAAGATACGGTGCAGGATTAAAACCTCCAAATTATTATAAGATGCGAGTTCCATTGTTGAAAAAAGAGTTGGATTATATAAATGACTTACTAATGAGCCACAAAGAATCATAGGTAAAAACTTGGTTGCTCTATTATGTCATTTGTGTAGTCAATAGATGCATCATCTTTTATGAAATCTGGAGAAAAGATATATGATTTGCTTGACAAATTCGTGGAAGAAATTGATGAACAAAATGTCGACCAAGTTATAACCAATAATGGAAACAACTATGTATTAGCTGGTAGGATTCATCTTTTGAATTTTTTAATTTTTTAATTACTTTGTCTTCAATTAAATGGAAGGTGTATTAAACTCCTTAGTCTTATCATTTTTGTTATCCTTTGTCTCAGGTCAATTACTTGAAACAAAAATAAAGCACTTATATTGGACTCCATAGGCGACACATTGTATTGATTTAATATTGGAGAATATTGAAAAGATCCCCGAAATCAAGAAAACTTAAGAAAGGGCAATCTTTATTGTTGGATTTCTTTATAATCATTCTAGGGCTTTGAATAAGATGAGAGGATTCACAGGCAACAAGGGCTTGGTGAGATATGGTGTCAACCGATTTGCTACTACTTTTTTAACATTACAGAGTGTGCATCATCAAAAATATACCCTGAGAAACACATTTACCTCGGAAAAATTAATGACAAGCAAATGGACAAAAGAAGCGAAAGGCAGGAAGGCCAGTGATATCATCTTATTGTCGTCCTTTAGGAATCTTGTAATTTATTTATTAAAGGTAATGTGCCCTCTTGTTCGAGTTCTTCGATTGACGGATAATGAAAATAGACATGCAATAGGATATATTTATAAGGCTATGGATAGTGCAAAGGCGGCGATTCAGAAGTCTTTTAATGGAAATGAAAAAAATATAAGAAAATGTTTACAATCATTGACAAAAGATGGAATTGTCAACTTCATCGTCCCTTACATGCAATAGGATATTATTTGAACCCAGAATTCTTTTATAAGATCATGTCCGTTGGGTTTGATGGAAAAGTTCTGAATGGATTATATCGGTGCATTGCAAGATTGATTCCAAACCTTGAGATGCAAGAAAAGATTATTAATGAATTATCTTTTTATAAGAATGTCGATGGCCTTTTTGGAATTCCAATGGTAGTTCGATCCAAAACAACTACATCCCGAAGTATTAATAATTTGATATAATTAATTTCATCTATTGTATGTTACTATGTTAATGCTAATAATAAAATAAATTTGCAACTGAATGATGGAGTCTATTTGGAAATTCCACCCTGAACTTACAGTAATTTGCTATCAAAATACTTAGTTTAATATGTAGTGTTGCGAGTTATGAGTAAAACTGGAGTATCTTTGAGCATGTAAAGATGACAAGATATTTTAATTTATTTTTATATATATTAATATATTTTTAAATTATATGACATAACAGATTCACTCAAAGAGAAGAAATCGGTTGGAGCATCAACGATTATACGATCTTGTTTATATAAAGTATAATCAAGCTTTGAAAGCTCGTCATAATTTACGAAAAAGAATTGATCCAATCTTATTACAAGAAATTGATGATTCAAATGAGTGGTTGATGGGAGAATGGGTGCGAACTTGCAAGATGTTGAAGACAAGTTTATATTCGAAGATGATAGCTTGACATGACGAGATGTGACAAGAGCTTCAGGTGCTAGAGAATTACAAATATAAACAACACATATGACGAAGAGAAAAATGAGTACAATAGCATCAAGCTCGGGTCCTATTATTGTTGAAGAGAATAAAACATATTTTGATGATGAAGAAGGATCAGAGGAAGAGAATGAACACAATGAAGATAAATTGTTTGAAAATGACTTTAATGTAAAACTTTATTGTTTTGAATTTTGAGTCTTTTGACATTTTTGCTATTAGGAGATGGATAATGTGACTTGATACTTTAGATCTTTTTTATTTAAATAATCATATTTATTAATTATATTATATATTTTTTATATTTTAATATTTTAGAGCGTCTCGCTTCGCTCGAGCGTTTTGGGACATTGGTGTTTAGCGCTTTTTAAATCACTGTGATCCATATCCAAACATTGATTTTAGCTCTTTATAATTAAACTTGACTAATTTTTTTCCTCAATTTAAAAAGTACAAAAAGATAAGCAACACATTTTAACTCCACCTCCTATAGAAATCAGAAGCACCTTATTGTAATAGTATCTGGTAAATGTTGGAAGATTATGGGATTGTATTTCATCTATGATTGTTCCTGTATATACTTTTCAAATTTGATTCTTCCCATAAAAAATTTTCCTTTGGAAATCCCTTCATTTCCCTTCAGCTTTCAGCAGTTAAGTATCTCAGAGTTCTATCAAATCAGAAAAATCTATACATAACTTTTTCTCCTTCCAATACTCACTGAACTATTTACCTTTTCTCAATTTGATACTTTGCTTTCTTTATAGAAACTTCCCCCAAAAATATGATGAAAAGCATAAACACACTGCATATTGATGAAAGAACATCCTCCAAATAATTATACAAAAATTCCTAAATCATATGAACTTTAAAATATGCTAACTAGCACCAGCCATGCTAGGGATGATTCTGTAAAAAAGATTACTGAAAGTATTCAACTTCTATAGAAACATGAACTATAGAACTCTTCAATGGAATCACATCTGGAAAGAAGCTAGAAAAGTCATTCATGCATGGCCAGGAAGACACACCTGGCGATTATGAACGTACTCCAAGAAAGAAGGAACATCAGGGTACCGATATTGGTCTTCATTTCCTAATGCTGAAGCTCTTTGATAGCAAATGATGTCTCCATCTTCAATCTGGAGTCAGAGGTCCAAATGAGCCAAGTAGAGTTGAAAAAGAAATGACATTTCAATAAAATTAAAGCATTGGATAGACCTGGCTAGATCGAAAAGAGATCCGCTTGTCGATGTGTTCACACATTACATTTGGCTCAAACTTTATTTCCTAAAGATTGTAGCAGAATAAGATTAGAGCCCTTGGATAAGTCATATATTAAAACTATCAATAGGGTTAATATCTTCTATGAGAAAATAATTTATTAAATTTAAATATAATACAGATCCGATAGGATCTCTGTATCAAAATCTAACACAAATGAAAAGATTAGTTTGAACGCAGCTACAGTCAATGTCTGAGTCAGTTACGAAATGCAGTCTTGGATACGGATTTAGATGCATGGGATGCTGACCAGTGTACGTGGCATGGATTAAAATCTTGATTGGGTACCAATACCACTGGTGACTGGACCAGTTTGGGGTAGCATGGGTATTTGTTGGTCTCGGTTGATGCCACTTGTACCATCACAAGGAGAGAGAGAGAGGGAGAGAGGGAGAGAGAAGAGAGAGGAGGGGGAGGAGAGAGGCAGCGGTGCGGCAGGGAAGGACAGTGGAGGAGAGAGACAACCTTAGAAAGAGAAAGGAGAAGAAGAAGAAAGAAGAAGAAAAAAGATAGTTGTGACACTTAACAAAAATTTTTAAAAATAAGGTATTGGCAACAGGGAGTAAATGTTTCCCCAGGTATAGTTCAGTACCAATCTGCTGTTTGATAAGCCTGGTATGGTGACCTTACTGGACAATACAATCTATATTAGACAAAACCAGACTAAAATTACATGGTCTATTTCATGCTACATGGCCCTCAGACCGGCAAATATTGACCCATACCAATGGGTGCACGTTCTATTTTAGTCCATGCTACATGGCACTCTGTACTGTATAAGTTGACAACTTGTGAGACCTTTTTTTTCCTTGTTCTTACTTGTAATCAAATATCATTATTGCATGCATTCAAACTTACTGTGTTTCTAAATAACAAATATGGTTAATGCAAACATCAGCTTATTACATAAATGGGATTTCCAAATGTTACAAACTTCCAATTCAACAGCTCTTGTATCTCAGAAAAAATATTTAACAAATGTACGGTTATTCATTTCTCCAATCTTATATCTGTTTGCTTCACAACCCTAAAAAAATGGTGGTAATGCTTAAACACATATAAAGATTTGCTAGAAACAATATCAGTACTTCAAATGAAAAACCAACCTCATAAAGTTCAATTTCTTCATTTGGAGGGAAACCAGCCATTTCATTCAATTTTGTCAGTACTTCAATTGGCTTTCCTAAAGACTTCAGGAACAGCCTTCCTACAAATCTACATTTGATCACAGAAGAAAAGAAAATATATGAGAGTTCAAGCATAATATGTGTGTGTAACCCTTGGCCCCACAATAAGGCTGCTCCCCTGAGAATTGGACTGTTAAGGGTTCAAGTCATGAAAATAGGCTCTCTAGTTGGAAGGCCAGAGCTGCATAGTATTAACACTTCACAGAAATCACATTGGTGGAAACCCCAAACACTAGGCTGCTCTTTTGGAGTTAAGTAACATTATAGTGCAAGCAAAATAGCGAATCAAGAAATACATGGTACCTCAGTTCTTCTTTTTCAGGGTCATAGAGCTTGAAAAAAAGAAGTATCTCTTCCTTGGTCTTTGATGGTGGAGGAACAGGGCAAAGATCCTGTTTTGTCGCAATTGATGTTTAAAAATTGCATCAGACTATAAAATAAGCACTTAAACCTTAGAATCTTTTCACCTTTATATAGATTATCAAGTATGAATGCAGAATGCTTTTAGAACAACAACAATATATGGACTGAACAAAATTGTGATATATATTACCGGCCCCAGCTCTACTTCCAAGAATAGCTTCAGTTCAGCATTATGTGCCTTATTTGATACCTCTCTAAGCTGTCCAACCTATACATGTTCATAAATGAACCAAACAGAACTTTTAGATTTAGAACAGCTTTGCAATGGCTGCATAAGTACAATCATCAGTGCCATGCAATCAACAAAGGACTCTAAATTACAATATTAATTTGGATACCAGAAAACAATTCTTATTTGTAGGAAACACATGAAGACAGTCACATACATTAAATAAAAAAGAAGTGAATGAAATATTATATAAAAATTAAACAAATGAGTTTTCATGAATTCAATCACATAACTTGGAATCTACAAACCGGAAATGGGAACAGAAAACAATGTAAAAGGATATTTCATGCAGCAATTTTCATCCCATTAAGGAAACTTCTTATCTGAAACAGAAATAATCTTGAACCAATTTGTAACTGTGCATCTACAATTACCTAACTTAAGGAGGTAAAGATACTGCAAGATTAAAACAATATATGCTTCAAGAAGAATTGCAAATACTGCCCATAAGAACAAAAAAGAAAATAGACAATAGAACTTAAAGCAGTAAACCTGTTTATACTTTAACAAAGAAAAATCATTACCAAATGTCATTGCCAAACAATGGATACCACGAAAGCTCGTAATGTCATAGGCTTTTGATAAAATGAACATACAAGAAACAAAAATGAAAAAACAGACAAGTTATGATCCAGAACTTCTTTCCTCTTAATCCTAAGCATTGGCCATAAAACCTTTTTGATGCAAATAATCACAAATTTGTTTACAAAAAAGTGTTTTTAGGCGGATCTTATCACCCCAGAAAGTGTTTTTAGGGGAGCCTATATGAGATCCACTCATATAGGCTCCCCACCTTAAAAAAAGCCTTTGGGAGGCCATACCACCTTGAAAAAGAGTTCAGGGGTGATTTGGCCAACCTAAATGGATGTGTTCTTATCTTCAAGCAATAGTTGAAGATTCAAACTTAAGACAGAATTCATCATGCAATAAACAGTCTCCGGTGTTGACTTATAATTCCAGTTGTTATACACATCAGGTCAAACTGAAGAAGTCACAAGAAAGATACAGAACTCGTTGCTTTTTTAAATTTTACCATGAATCCATTATGCACATGTATAACTAGTGCAACATCTTGATACCCAATGGACACGCACTGAAAATTGTTGACCCAAAACAAAGCTGTTTTTGCTAGCAATTCAATACGAAGAAAACTAAATAGAGAAAGGTAAAGAATGCAGATTATAAATTAGCTCAAATTCACAAATCCAGAATAATTAAGAAAAAATAGTCATGTGAAAATAAAAAAAACAAATGAATACTCACAGGCTGTGCTTCCTCCTGAGGTGTTAAAGGCCGATTGGGGCGGTATGTGTGGTTTTGCCGCTTGGCCCACAGCCAAAAGCGATGAAACTGCACCGGTATACCAAATTCTTTGGCCACTTCCTCCTGCCAAGTGCATTATTTTTGAACCAGTGATGCTGCCAACAAAATTTTCAAAAGGGCAACAAAGCAACATTGTAATTAAGGATATAAATCTTCAATGATAGATTGTCTTGACTATTACAGACCTCGGGCCTCTATTTATTTCAATACTGAGGGACTTGTGCAAGGTGGAAGGAATGCCAGCTTTTAAGGAGAAGTAGCTGGGGTCCAAAGTGCTACAGGATGTCAAGAATAAGGATTCTAATATGCCCATGGTCAGTATGTTCAGCTTTTTTGGGCAACCAACTAAAACCTTCTTCTGACATCCTTGTTTGGAAGAAACGAGGCTCATCAGGTAAGACAATTTAGCAAGTAAGTCCAGAAGCCACAACCCTAAAGGACAGATTGCAAAATATGAAAAATACCAATGCCCACAATGAAACTTAAATCAACAATTTATATCAGGATTTACTCGATGGTACTCGCTGGAATCAATACTCAGTTCTACATGGTATGTTCTGTAACCTTTTAGCTCTTTCAAACATCAACATATTTTACATTAAGGCTTTCCACTCCATAACCTTTTATGGCTTTGGACTGTTATTGAAAGAACCAGTGAGAAGTACATTAAACCTCTGATGTACTTCACTATATTATACAGTTTCACACCCCAAAAAATAGATACAAAATCAAATGCAACAACTTAACAAATAAAATAGAAGTTTCTTGAGAGATTAGAAAGAGACACCTAGAATCATTTACTGCATATATCAAAATGAAACTCTTAAGAATCTTATTAGTTGCTTCCATTTTTGTTCAACTAGCTTGTTCACTTCTACCTTAAAATGGCTGAATGGCAGTTGTTTCTGGACACGAAAGTTCCGAACTTTGTCATGGTCTACTAGATCGAAAAATATTTCCTTTCCAATCTGTTCTGCCAAATCCTCATTCCGAGCAACCTGGATGGATCAGAAAATTTATTTCATTAAATTGCAAGAGAGGGATCACAATCTTCATAGTAATCAACACAGAGACTCAATACATGGGAACCCCATGGAAGACCTTTATGATGGTATAAAGATGAGCCTCAGCCTTCTCCTTCTTTTTGTTCTCCTTCTCTTCTTGTTCTTTCTTCAATCTTATCTGTAGAAATATATTAAATTGTAAATCTCTCAAAGATAGACACCAAAAATCTAATGAATTTTCAGAAACTCACTCTTAGGTGCTCTGCTATGTCTTTCTCATCCACATCACACATAATTTTCTCCTTGTCGCTCTCACGAATGTACACAAGCATGTAAGCATTTGAATATTTGGTAAATTTAAATGGAGTGTTATTGAAGCCGGGATTTGTCTGAGGCAACTGTGGGAGACAAGTAGTAAAAGATGAAAATAGCATATAGAAGATCCTGTAAGAAAGAAATTAGAATCAAACAGGAACACAGATACTATTCAAACCTCTTCTTCACCACCATACTGCTCCTCTAGTGCCCTTTTAGCGTCTTCCTTTGTCACTCGCTCATCATCGAACTTAAACCTAAGAAAAGAATAATTCAAAACCGTGTATGTATCAAGTAACTCCCTGCTATAATGTAGTTTCCCGATCAAAATAAGGGCAAGAACATGTGAAAGCCACTGGTAACCAGTAGACAATGAGCACAAAATGCAACTCTTGTTCAAGTTAGAGAATGATTAAACTCATAAATAAAACTAAGCAGCAAAAAATGTCAAGTACACTTGTCTTAGAAAAGAAGATACTCTATGAACTTTGGCAGTGCCACTAAACCAGCACAAACAAAACCAGTTACTGATAAGCCTACTAATAGTTATGAAAATAATAGTGTCAAATGGATCCTTTAACAGTAAGATGTAAATCATGCCAATGGAGGCTTCTAATTGTCAAGACAGAACTAACAGAGAATTGAAAGAATCTACTTACTGAAGATACAACTAAAAGAATCTTACACAACAAATCAACATCTTTTGTTAGGATTCTGAAGAAATAAAAGAAACAGGCCATTGTTGGAAGCTAAGGCACTACTACAGTATTTGCCCAAGCAGCTTAATAAACAATCTCAAACAGGTAAACTAAGCAGCAAATTGGATGGCTAGCAAATTTGGCTTGGACAGTAAGCAGTGTGTTTTTCCCAAATGGCAATATAATTGGCCAAAATTATATGGCCATGGTATGGTCCCTGTAGGTGGATTTGTACAAATGATATGCAATTAACTTCAGGCCTCAACTAAAATATCTGGAGCCATAATAGAGACCATAATAGGTGCTGCAATTAGAGCCCAACAAGCTTAAAAATTGGTAATTGTTTTTAAAAGAAATATATCTGGAAATGTGTGGCCGCTAGAGGATTTTCTTTTAAATTCTTACATCACATAACAACAGTGCTCATGTGAGAAGCTATATGTGGAAACTAAGTACCACTGATCCGATAGAGTTGGTCGGATGAAAGCATAGTAATGTCCTCCGTGCACCCCACCACTGTGAACAAGAACACTGCAAGCAAGAACAAATACATCACCAGATAATTTCAAAATGAACCAAATTCTGAAGGTATGTTGACATTCTGTGACAAGAATAACCAAGAAAAGTAGCAGAAGTTGTTGCCAATAATTTCGTATCTGATGCTTGCAAAGAGTATTGAATAATGTGATTAACTAATAATCAAATAAAATATTGTCTCAAATTGCATGTAAATACCATCAGATTACAAATAGCATGACTATGAAATCTTGGTATAAGAAAATTTATTTTATAAGATAGACCAACATAATTTCAAAGAAAAACTCCGAAGGAATAGAAAAATTAGCCATGGCTCAGACTTGAAATGTACATAGCTTCTATTTAGCTTATATGTCTTGAGACGGTTGATATTCATTGACACAGAATTCTGTAAACATCAAAATTTGCTTTGAGTAGCAAGTTGTGTAGACATCTTTTGCAGTTTGGGAACATAACATGGTTTAATCATCAATCACTCATGTGTACATAATCTATACTTGATGTAGTCAACAGAATGGAATACTTGTGCCAAACAGTGGCACAATAGTTGTCATCCACAAAAGCTTTATTCTAGTGACTATTCTGTATGTAGTGGCCATCCCCAAAACCGACGATCCAATTATCATGGTTGGACCAATAAGTACAAACCCATACCAATCAGTGCACCTGATTTTTAAAATCTTGCCACCAACTTACCAAAAAATCATTATAGAACAGAAAGAAGAATAGCACCAACACAGTGAAGCCGTTCTTCACCTGATCCATAAGCTTTTCAACTAACAAAATTTTCAAAATCATGGTTGCATCAGGTAGTACTCGATGTCAGTCCCACAGGTTAGCTTTTCCTCTCTTTTTTCCACTTTCATTTGTACAACAACAAGAAGTCGTAATGCACCAACTATTTGAGGTTGACTACATGGATCTTTTCACACCATTGAGTGGACTATTCATCTATACGAGTCCATAAATTTACCCATTTTTTTTGCAATCAAATAAATTTCTTCAATACGACTATAATGATACCCAAGAATCAAGGCAATAGAATGAGCCAAGCCATATTAGTGGTCTTATCTCACCAAAAGAACTTGTAATAGAGCAGCATAAGAGCCAAGTGTTACTGATGATGGCATTGGTTGATGCATTCATTACAAAGATATCCAAGGACCGATTCTATACCTTGTAGACAAATAGTATAAGATTAAACCCTGTACAGCACCTTAATCAACTACTCAGAATTTTCTTTCATGAAAAATCTTAAAACGTTAACTTATTGGAGAAAAACTTAAATACCAATCCATACAGAAACCAGCAAAGTGTTGGACCCATTCAGTTGGTAAGATACTAGACAGTAGACACCATTGTATATCACTAGGAAAAGGATATAAAAAGTGTTTAAAGTGTCAGAATAAGTTAGGATTTTCGTTGCACTAATGGAACATGATCAGTATAAATCTAATACAGACTAGTCAGCATGATCAATGAACCAGCATTCAAATGGATAGTTGGGAGGGCCTGCTAACTTTCCCTTCTCTTAGTTTTTCATTTCCTAACAAATTATTTACATATCAGACGGTCTTTAATATATTATACCTGAAAGAAACTATGATCATATATTGATGAATGCTTCTAAAAGTAGTAGGAAAACCTTGCAAAACCCCGGTAGTGAATTTTGCTGAGTACAAGCATAGTTTCGTAGTCAAATTAGAGGCACAAACTATCTAAAGTCATTATGCCACTAAGAGCAAGCATAACAAAGAAAGCAGTCTAGATTTCATGCATAAGGTTCAATGTAGGAGTGAATCTGCATTCAATATAACCAAGTATGCCATGAAAAATTACGGACAGCAATTGAAATCTCACCACTATTTCAAAACACCAAGCAAATGAACAAATAAAGGGTAAAAGACCAGAATACAATAAATAATCATTTGATTCACAGTTCAAAATAAGCCCCTAAGTATCGAATAAATAGATAGCCATCCCCAGCACAATTTAGAAAAAAACGAAATGTTACCTGTGAAGAGTATAGAGATTACGAACCCTCCTGTCTGCTTCTGGAGAAAGATATTTGCCATTGTCACTATCGAGGTCTAGCTGAAGTGGGAACTCATAACGGTCATTTATCTGTGTTCCAAGGAATGACCGGTTAAGATATGAAAGTCCAGATCCATGAACAATAATAGATAAGTTTATAACACAGCAGCAAAGACAAAGTTGGGCCACCATGAAAGATATATATTTATCATCTCCAGATCCCAAATTGGCAGAAACCTCATACATTGAGCCACCTTTTCTCTTAACCAAAGACAATGCTCAAAGCATTTCTTATAATTGTTCCAAAAGCACAGCTGATCAAACATTGTTATGTGTAGCCACTGGGAACAAATCTTTTAGTAGGTTCAGATACTCATGGGCTCATGACAGTATTTACACAAATGTAGAAAAACAAAAGAAGATGGAAGATATTAGAGATAAACAGCAACAACAACATTAACAACAACAAACAACAAGATGAAAAGTCCCAATGATATCAGAGATAAACAAGGCCTAGATACCAGAGAGAAAAGGAGGAAGGAGGAGGAAGAGGAAGGAAGAATAGGAGGTGATGGAGGAAGAAGGAAGAGGACAAAGAAAGTGGAAGAGGAAGCAGAAGAAAGAAAAAGAAAAAGAGGAAGGAAGAAGAAGAGAAGGCGGTGGAGGAAGAAGAGGTGGAAGAGGAAGCATACATGAAAAGACGAAAAGAGATTGGCAACATGGCGGGTGGCAGAGGCAAGCAGCAGTGGACTTACAAAATCACATGGTGGGTGATGGGAGAAGAGGGCTTATCACGAGCCCTATTTGAACCCTGCAATTTTTTCTTATAATTTGATCAAATCGAACCATCCGAAATAGAAGCAATCCGCACACTGGTTCATGCCCAGACCAGTAAATATCAATTGGTTAGTCAGATGGAAATTGCAATCCTTGGTTTTGACCATAAAAACCAGATGGTATGCTTGATATAGTAATCGTATCAAGCAATAAGCCCTCTTTTGAACCTGACCGAATGAAACTTCCTTATCTACGTGCCAGAACATGGTTAGACCACCACTCGATGTTGATCTAGTTCGACCAGTTTTTCATCCTTGCTTTCATGTAACCAACAAAAGAATTCTAACCCAAATTTAGCTAAAGGTAACAAGTCAGAAGTTGACTTTGCTTAGCAAATTAAAGTCTCTTTTAACCAATAAAAAGGCATCATTAAACATCAAGGAAACAAGACAAGAAAAGGGTCAAGGGAACAAGTACTGATGTCGAAATGTATAGCTCAAACCGGTGCAATATCATTCATTTTAACTTTTTAAATATTTTATTCAATTGTATTGGGCAATATAGGTGGCCTACCACAACCATTTTGGTGCTGTAGGTTACTGAAACCAGTATCAGATCAGCATTTAAATATTTGGTTCCAAGAAAACATTATCTAAAACAAACTGCAATGGCTGCTCTGTGAGAAGAACTTCTGCAGCATTCGAGTGTCACTGACCTTCACCATTGTATCCCGCATGAAATCGTATTCAAAACGCTTGAGCTGGAGTTGCAAAACAGGGGGGAAATCAATAAATAGAACACCTTTCTTAGCATCCTGAAAGAATCACAATGACATAATCACATTAAGTGTTTGCAACAGATTATATGGTCAAAAGACTCAAAACTACACTTCACCTATTAAAAAGGCAAGAGAAATATAATATTATGTTTAAGAATGATTTGAACTTAATATTTATAGATGAATACAAGGTGAGGCAACAAAAATGATAGACAAAGGTTAAACTAAAGAAAGATCGTATAACTCATGCATTTACACCTAAAATATAAAGGTTGGACTACACTTCACCTATTGAAAAAGCAGAAGAAATATAAGATTATGTTTAAGAATGATTTGAACTTAATATTTATAGATGAATACAAGGTGAGGCAACAAAATGATAGACAAAGGTTAAACTAAAGAAAGATCGTATAACTCATGCATTTACACCTAAAATATAAAGGCTGGTTTATGAATTCACCAGAAGAATTGCATTTTGGTTCAACATACCTGTAAGCCATGATTTTCAGCATGATATTTGTTATCACCCTCCAGCCGCTCGACTTCTACATACTTATCAAATGATGCATAAACATCTCGACAACCCTTTACATCTAACTGTAGGTCTATAAAAAAAATGCAGCAAAGATGGAATTAAACGTAATAAAATAAATAGCTTGTCCAGAACTTGCATATTAATGGTATGCTACACACCATAGAACGACTCCTTTCTCGTGGATTTGTAGTCAACATTAATGCATTCAATATAGTTCATATGATGTCCCTCAAATAAATGCTGGATTGTGCCCTCAACAACAGTACCCTGAGACGGTGTTGGAAACATGATAATTTGACAAATGGGATAGGCCAATATCAATGCAAGAACTTTTAGGGGAACTTTCAAACCTTCATCTTGTCTTCCAATTTTTCACAAAGAACCCTGTTGAGTTCCTGGACGTCATGTTGCATAAAAGAATCATATGTGTCCCAGCCAAACGACTTTGTCAGCTCTTTTGTAGCAACACTGTTGTCACTGTACTGAAGCTTATAGAACAGGCTCTGCAGAGCCAACGGAATGCTTCCAGATGGCATATCATTCTCTGTTGTTGGCATATGATAAACAGCCTGAAATATGCGAGTCAGTTTCAAACAATTGTTCACTGAACAATTTTATCAAACAGCTAAAAAGCTATTAGTTCTACCTTTCTGAAATATGGAATATGATACAAAGTCTGAAGAAGAGAGTTCATGTAACAAGTAGCTCCTTGGTTCTTAAGACCAACAAAGCCCGTTTCCTTTTTCGAGTCATAACTCCAGTAGTCTACCACCCTACGGACAACAACTTCAGCTTCAATTACACATGTATCATTGACAAGATATCCTCTACTCGGATCATAGAGTTCACTCAGAGACATAAATGAAGTGAATCCCCAGTCACTTTCACGTGAATTAAATTGGTGTTGCGTATCTGCAAAGAGAAAGGACAAATGTAAAGAATAGAGCCAAAACTTCAACAGTCATTCACACACACATATTAGCACAAAAGCAACAAAGAATTCTGCTTCAGAATGTTTCTCATGCACAAAACCAGATAACAAATGTTGTCATCAGAAATTTAATAATCTATCTAATGAATATCACAGGCAGCATTTCCATTGAGCACAAATCTAAAATTCACCACAGATATGTTGATCATATTAGTCATGGCTATACAAAAAGAGAAAGACCATGACAGCCCCATGTGACATACAGCATGTACAATTCACAAACATCAAACGAAAGGTTTCCTTAACCTACAAGGGGAAAAGTTTATCTCATACTCAAAGTTCACACTTACAAATTGGATGTCTCAACAAGGGATCAATGTTGGTCAAAGTCGATGTCAACCTTTTCAGAGGCTAAAATGCTAATTACAATATCTGTTGACCTTTTCTTAAATTGCCATTCTGGATATCATTTTATTAAAACTACATCCCTAATAGTGTTTTAGCTTTGCTTCATGTTGTGCAAAGAGGAATGAGGAATGGAAATGTTAAGGTTGAGACAAGGAAATTTTGAATTCAAATGGTATAAGAAGTTCCAGTTTTAATTGGGATAGGGTATTATCATTTAGTAAAGAAAAGAAATTTTCCAACATTGCACTGGTGCCAAATTCATGTCACAGATAAAGTGACTATTCACCATTACATGGCCTTGCTCATTTATACAACAATATATCCACATAAGACATTTAAAACTTCTTATGAAATTAACTTCTAATGTTTTAGGTTCTCAAACATCACAACATAAGCAACATAATGAGTTACTAAATATTCTTCTCTTACATGTCCTCATATCTCCATTTTGTTTCCTCTCTGGGGTACCCACTTGGATGCATTCCATTTCCAATTGTTGTGTCCATCCCCATGTTAAACTACATGCTGTAACGAAGTAATAAAAAACTGTATTGACAGAAGAAGTGTGAAACCTTTTCTTATTGTGTACTTGCTGTGAATTTGATTAACGACGGCGAGTGCAAACTGTGCATATCTACTCCAACCATATGGCAAAGTGGCTGAATCAGCAACATCCAGGTATATGGACAAGTGGTCTACATTATTTCCCTTGGGGAAAATTAGCACCCGCCTGTAAGAATATAAGCGAGCATTTGCACTTAACATCATTTGAATCCATGCACCAACTAAATGAAAAGAATCATGCACCTCTAAAAACTGAGAAAGAAGAGTAACTAAAGATATCCACTTACCACTTGTATCCTCCGACGTAGAAAATGTCAGAGTAAAGCTTCTTAATGTTCAACCTGGAGAAGTTCTCGATGGTCCATCTAAATTTGAACGAAGGTGGATCCTCCACTTGCTGACTCTCCGGCGCGGTGCCCATCTCATTCGGTATAACTAGCGGGAAAAAGGAATGCAAAGCAGAAGAACAAAGTATAATCAAAACCCTAAATAAACCATCGAGCGCACAAGATCACAAATCAAGGGCTACACTTTCCAATCAATCGAGAATCACGAAGAGCGAATACCTTCCATGGGCTGGGGTCCCTCGGGGAACTCTTGGTGCGGGACCAGCATCTCCTCGTCCTCCTGCTGCAAAAATAGAGGCACAAAGATCAGCGCTCAGATCCAGCAAAAACCGCACCGCTGCGATCGACAGAACACCCTAGAAGCAACAGTGAGGGTCAATGGATGTCCCAATTCGACCACCGATTCGTGGGGCTCCGGCTCCACTCCGAACCCTAAAACCGACGTGAACGGCACTAGGGCAAACGGGATCTAGGGGCGAGAGCGAAGCGCCTCCTCGAGATAACCAATCGATAACTACGGCGACGAATGAGGAGAGAGGTGGAGATTGGGGGAGAAGACGTACGTCGAGAGGGGGCGGAGTCATCATAGTCATGGGTGGGTGGTGGTGGCGGCAGCGGCAAGCGGCGGCGGAGGCTCGATCCGGGGCGGAAGATCGCCGGCGAAACGATGGAATTACGAGGGAATAGAGAGAGAGAGACAGAGAGAGAGAGAGGAGGGAGTAGGTACAGGCGACGGCCGACGGGTTTTATTTCTCGTGGAGGATAACAAAGGAGTTCCATGTGGAGCCCCCGATTTCTGGCCAACAAAGGTCAAGGTGCGCGTTTGGGTGAAACAGGCGGTGCGAGAAAACCCTTCAGAATGGAAAGCTTCAGCGCGCGGCGCGACGCGATGAGCACCGACCCGCCAGTTTTCGCCGGCTGAGGTCGTGGGGCCCGCTATCTTCTGTGGGGCCCACCGTCGGTATGAGTAGTGTCAACATTCGGGGAGGTTTAGAAATCCATCTAATGGCTCCTTACAAATTCTTTTGATTTGAGGTGTTTTAATAATCATTAATTAACATTTACTCCTTATGATTCTTTATAAAAAAATTAATTATTAATTTTAAATTGTATGCATGTTAAACAATTTTTTTTAGTCTCTAGAAAGATAAATTTATCTAATCTTTTTCTAACAACTTAAAGTTTTGATATTTACATGGATAATATGTCTAATGTACTCTTAAAAGCTCCTTTTGATTTGAGATATTTTAATCATTATTATTTTATTTCTTTATTTTTTTGATAATAAACTCTTAAATTATTACTTTTTAATTGTATGAATGCTAAACAAATTCTTTTTTTTTTGTTTCTAGAAATATAACATTATAAAATATTTTTCTAACAACTTCAAGCTTTAAGATTGACATAGGCAATCCATCTAATATCCCCTTAAAAGCTCCTTCTGATTTAAGTTATTTTAAAATTAATTAATTATTTTTTTGTTTCTCTCTTTTTTTATTAAAAACCCTCTAAATCATACATTTTCAATTGTATGCATGGTAAAAAAAATATTGGTCCCTCGAAAGATAACTTTATCCAATCTTTTTCCAACAACTTAAAGCTTTTAGATTTACATGGACAATTTATCTGATATCCCTAAAAGCTCCATTTGCTTTATCCAATATTTTTATAACAACTTAATGCATTGAAATTTACGTAGACAATCTGTTTGATGTCTCTTAAAGGCTCCATTTGATTTTAAGGTATTTTAATAACAATTAATTATTTTTTGCTATTTTTTGAAGAAAAAAAAAATTCATTTTCAATCGTTTGAATGCTAATTAAACTTTTTTGATCTCTAAAAAGGGAATTTTATCCAATCTTTTTCTAACAACTTGATGTTTTTATATTTACATGGACAATATGTTTAATGTCCCCTTAAAAGCTCTTTTTGTTTGAGATATTTTAATAATAATCTTTTTTTTTTTGCTTCTCCTGATTTTTGGATGAAAAAACTCTTAAATCATTAAGCTTTAATTTTATGCAGGCTAAACGATCTTTCTTGGTCTCTACAAATGATAACTTTATCCATTTTTTTTCTAGCAAATTAAGACTTTGAGACTTACATGGACAATCTATCTAATGTTCCTTAAAAGCTTTGTTTTATTTGTGGTATTTTGATAATATTTATTTTTTTTTTACTTCTCCTTTTTTAATGATAAATTCTTAAATCATTAATTTTCAATTATATGCATGCTAAACAAACCTTTTTTGTCTTTAGAAAGATAACTTTATCCACTTTTTTTCTAACAATTTAAAGCTTTCATATTTATAAGGTCAATTTATTTGTCCTCTTAGAAGCTTCCTTTGATTTGAGATATTTTAATAATAATTAATGTTTTTATTTATATTGTTTTTTTATGAAAAAAATCTTAAATCATTAATTTTTAATTGTATTCCTACCAAATAAATTTTTTTGGTATCTAGATAGCTTTATTAAATCTTTCTCTAATAATTTAAAGCTTTAATGTTAGATTCATGTGGACAATCTGTCTAATACGTTTTGGAGTAACTTATAAAAGATATGATGCATATTTAGATTAATATTATTTAATATTATTTTACTTAATTAAAATTATTTTTATCTGTTGGCCTAATTATATTTATGTTTATATATATTATAGTTAAATATAATAATATTATTATCTTAACAAAATAAATTATAAAAGTTATTATAGATTATATTAGAAAAGACTAACAGTATTATAGTATATAGAAAGGATACGAGGTTATGCATTTGTATCGATGGACCTTTCGTCGCTCTACATCTACATCAACATTGATGTAGATGCTGAGTGGCTCTTTTTTTGCTTGGTAACTACGTCGATGTTCACACATATGCAAAGCAGCGTCGCTCGACATCTACATTGACGACTATTTCATCACTCTACATTGTTATTGGTGTTGATGTAGATATCGAGCGATCCTATCATTACTCGATAACTACGTTGATGTTGACGTAGATGCAGAGTTGCCCTCACCTCTCCCCATCACTCTTTTCATCCATAACACTCATCCATGGCCCCCAACAATATCGTCGTTCACCATCACAACCAACTAGAATGTTAAAATTACTTTTTTACTTTTTATTTTCATATTTTCGTCGATAAAATCGATGATATTATGGTAAGTAAATATACATGCTTTACTTTTATAATAATAGGAATGTCAATATAACTTTGAAAGCATAGAGATCGGGCTGCTAAAGGTAAATAACTAAATGAGATAATATATAATTAGCTCTAATTAACATCATAAATCATTTGTCCTAATCTATAAAATAACAAGAATCATAGGAATAAAATATCATGTATCAAGATTATAGATCTATTCTCAATTTCCTTTAATACTTATTTCATCACTAACAGTGGAATCATGTGAAGGAAAAAAAAAAGGAAGAAAAAAAATGAAATTTTCTTCTTATAAATCGATATTGATGTAGGTTTTGGATTCGACAATGATATGTTTGTAAATCAGATAAAAGTTTTCTGAATAATATCGAAAGATACGTATCATAAATTTTATCTATCGTTATTTGATTTTAGCTTATGACATTAAAATTTTTCGTATAATAATATCATAACTATAGATTTATGCCAACACTATCTCATTATTATTATTGTTATGCTTTTATTTTAAATGCATCTTCACATTTTCTTTATTGACTCACAAGTAATTATTGGGGTGACTAAGATGAAAGAAAAATAAACGTAAATCAAAATGTGTTTTCTGACACAAGTTAAAATTTTATGGAAATATGTTCGAATAGATGTGTTAAGATGGCACGAGGACATGTTTGTTGCATTCTACTAACACTTGGCATGAGTCTCAGATATCATGCAGTCCAAATGATCTGTCTATATAGATAAACTTAGGAACCAGATGTGAGTAAGATACTTGCATTTGAATCTGTAAGTGATTTGACATTAAAATATTTTCTAATTGTTTTACACAATTTTTTTGTTAATCATATTTTTTATATTGAAATGAAATGTGAAATAAATAAATAAATGCACATGATGATTAATAGGCAAACCAAACTTTGAATAGTATTATTGAAAATACATGTGAAATATGTTGTGAGATTGAAGTTTACTTTCCCTTTTTTCCTAATAGCATTTTTGTGGCAATACCAACAGGAAGAAATTATTAACTGCCAAAAATATGTAAACAATTAATGATCCAAATATTTGATACTATTTATAAACCAATATACTAAAATTTTAAGCTATTTAAGCAATCATTGCAAGTTCAACTCAATTGTGCTTGCTTTGCTTGAGGTAATCAAAGAAAAGAAAAAGAAATCAGGGACATATTAATCAAAAGGTTCTTGAGCTTAAGATTAAAAACAAGAATAACAACTGCCACCATCTCATTTCGTTGTAAATCTTAACATACCTGCTGGCTTTCAAACACGGGGAAGTCCACAAGACAACAACGTCAAAATTTCTCAAAAAAATAGACAAGAAATGGAAATACTAATAGAACATAAACCTGATTTCGACAACAACAGGATCAACGCAGGCGTCATAGACGAAAATTATTGAGAAAAAAATTAGAGAAATTCTTCTTTGGATTAGGAACATTGGTTGTCTCACTTGGTGCTGGCGAGTTGAGTGCGAAGAAGCTTGGCTGCAGCAACCATGTTGGTAAGAGCAGGCTTGACTTCGGCGTATTTGCGGGTTTTGAGCCCACAGTCAGGGTTAACCCAGAGAATGTTGGTCTCAAGAACAGCAAGCATCTTGTTGATGCGGTCAGCGATCTCTTCTGTCGATGGTATTCTTGGAGAGTGGATATCATACACACCCGGACCAATGCCAGCACCATACTTCACTCCCTCACGGAATACAGAGAGGAGCTTCTCATCAGAACGCGAGTTCTCAATCGTAATGACATCAGCATCCATGTTGATGATGGAGTGGATGATGTCGTTGAAGTTGGAGTAACACATGTGGGTGTGAATCTGTACGAGAAAGTGTTGTTAGACAAGATGGTCCAGTCATGCAAATGAAGATATCTCAGATTAAAACAAATCTCTAAGCATACTTGAGTTGTGTCTTGGACACCACAGTTGGTGATCCTAAAGGAGTGGACAGCCCAATCCAAATAGAAAGCCTGCTCCGACTTGCGAAGGGGAAGGCCTTCTCGTAAAGCTGCTTCATCTATCTGGATAACCTGCAGATTAGCAACGGAAGAACCATAAGTTTTGTGGTAGGCGGAAAAGTGAGGTAATTGTTTGTGAATTACAGGTCATGGGGAGTAAATATTAGTTGCTGCTATGTGTTCTCTTTTGCAAATTAAATATGGTACAAAAAGGAATCATGAAGCACATAGAAGCTATATTTTTTTAGGACAGAAACAAGTAATGTTAGCAAAGCCCAATTTATCTTCACCTAAACTCCAAGAAAGGGTCTCTTACTCATCAACGCCTTACATTAGTACTTGATTTTTGTGTGCATGTGTTACACATGGATGGTAAATAACCATGCAGGACTAGAGAGAATTTATATCGATTGTCACTCGAGGCATGGAAATGTTGAAGAGAGATGGAGTTGTTTACACAGATTATCAACTATTTAAACTTGTATCGGATGGCTATGATCAAACAAATTGACTTGATAATTTCAGAAAACAACTAAAACTGGACAAAATAATTATTGTGTTTTACCAAGTCCAGTCAAA